AATGAGAGCGGCGGAGGAGGAGGGAGGATCGTGGGCGAGAAATGTACCATATCCACGGCCTCGCGGGCCAGGACCTTGGGCCGCGACACCATGGGTGCGGGGCGTTTTTGTTGTTGATGCCCCGCGCGGAACGTCTCCATGCGGCCGCGTATCTACGGGATTGTGCCCCGGAGTCCAGACCGCGAGGGCGTGTATATGGATGTGTTCGAGTTGCTCCTCTGCCCCGGAGGCTAGAGCTGGTCACGAAGACGGCCCCAGAACTCCCGACCCCTTCCCCAGGGGCAGTTTTCGGCCCGGATGAATCTTTGACGGTGGGCCAGTGACGGCACCTCGAGGCCAGAATGAAGGGAAAGCGCGGCGGCTGAAGACAAGATGTCGTCGGAGGCCTGGGATTTTGCAGAGGCGGAGCAGCGGGGGCGGGAGAGCGGCGAAGGGGGGGAATAGCTCGCCCTGTGTGGTTCTTGGAAACGGCAGGGCCGCTTTCTTTATCGCATCCAATGATCTTGATCTTGACACTGAAGCTGATACACCAACGGCTCGACGAAACGGCAAAAACGGCGCTGGGATTGGAGCCAGAGCCAGACCGTAGACACAAGAAAACGGCGACGGAGCTGGAAAAAGAAAGCGGCGCTGGGACCAGGACACAACAAACGGCAAAACTAAAAGGCGTGAAACCTTGTCTTGTCGCTTCCAAGAACCACCAAGGGCTTGCCCCCAAGACATGCGACGTCCTGATTTTGTCCATGCCCGGGTCCCTGGAAGTCCCGATCCTTTCCCTGGGAACGGTCCTTCGCCCCGATCCGGCTTTGTTGACGGTCCCAAGGCCCGGTGGGAGCCCCCCCAGAGGTGGAAAGTAGCGAAACACTCTCCACTTGGCATCGCTCGGATATGTGCTTTTTTCCTTTGGCGAGGACCATCGAGGAGCATCCTCGATGATTTTGCGAAACAAACCACGCACGAAACCAAAAAAAGCACAGGGAATTGACGTCCGAGCGATGGCCAGTCCAGCGTGCTCTGTTTATGGCCCGAGGGGGTTCGGGGTCAGGGCTATAGGCCCCCCCCTCCGCCCCGGAGGCTGGAGCTGGTCATCCGCGACACCAGGCTGCGCGCGGTCCCGGGTGGCCCGCGCGCGCCCGCCCTCGGCGTGCTCAGCAGGCCGCTGCGGCGCCGCGGGCTCGAACTCGCCGCCGCCGCCGCCGCGGCCGCCGCCGCCCGCCCGGATGTTGTCTCGCGCTGGTTCTCCCAGAGCCCCTCGGATGCAACTCCTGGGAGGTCCAATTCTGATTTTGCCCCGGTCCGAAGTCTGGCTCAATCCCGCTTCATCCGGCTTAATCCGAGGCCCAATCTGGCATAACAGCCCCCCAAAGGGGTTTAATCCTCCCTAGTCCTTCCGACGAAGACCTCCCAGCAATTGCCTCCTAAGACCCCCTCGGGTCATGAATCTTCGTGACCCAAAATGGGGTCCAGCTGAAAGGGGATGGTGCACTAGATCTGGGGTAATTGTATTGCAAGTATATGTTGCGCCAGCTGTCTTGCATCGTCTTGCAGCTATAATGTGCTACTCGAGAACAACCAGCTGTACATTTGCGCACCAGAATGTATCACACGCTCCAAATCGATTGCAACCTCACGAATATGTTGCACCAGATCTATTGCACCTCCCCTATTTCGTTGGACCCCCTTTCGGGTCAACCAGATGGACAAAATCACGATCTCTGGAGGTGTTTCGCTGTTTTCAGCCTCTGGGGGCCCTCACGGGGCCTCGGGACCATCAAGAAACGACTCAGGATGAGAAAGTGGTCATGGGGAAAGGGTCGAGACATGTGGGGGTCGACGTCATGAAAACATGACGTCGAGGGGCTGGGTACGACGTGTTAGTTCAACCCTGGCGTCTTTTCTTCGATACTGGTACAGATTCCCCCGACCCACGGGGCAAGTTTATTCAGTCGCCTTTTCGGGGGGCGGGGGGGCCATGAAGGCGGTTTCGCGTAACCGACGCTACGGGGGAGGCAGGCGTTTTTTGTATCGCCGTCTCGGCATGGATATTCATCCTGCAACCCGTCCCCGTCACCGCGCATGCTCTGACATCTACAGCTTGTGCCAATCGCAGGCACGGCAGGCAGCACGCCCCAAATGCAAACACGACCGATGCAAATCCGTATGCGGACACGGGAAACAGATGTGACGCTCAATTGCCAGTTCTTCGAGTAAGCAGGGATAGAACTACAAAATTTCATGGGCACGACCAGACATAACTATAAATGACAGTTTTCACGGAGGGGGCGGGCAGAATATTAAGGGCCCGAATATCAAGTCACCGGAGCAGGCAGGGGGGCCGGTTCTCTAGCGGGCAGCCGTTGAATAAGGGATATGAAGTAGTATTGAGCTCACCCTGGCCATTCCTCTCTCGGCTGCACCTTGACCATGTAAAAGGCGGTACGTGTGTAATGTATAAAATATATGTATACAAACACACACACACACAAAACACACACACACACACAACACACACACACACACACAACACACACAGACACATGGGAGATCCGGCCCCTGGGCCCCGGGCGGGCCCCCCGCTTGTACCACGGTCCCCCCTCTCCCCGGCGGGCTCCCCCGACGACCCCCAGGGGCTCCCGGTCCGCTCGAGAGCGCTCCAAGAGGGCCCTGAGAGGGCCCCAGGAGCACTTCAAGACGGCCCAAGATGGCTTCCAGAAGGGCCAAGAGGATTTCAAGACGCCCCAAGAGAGCCCCTCCGTAGCCATTTTGGCTCTAGCGAGCGGGCCGCGGGGCCCCGCCCCCGCGCCGCAATATGGCCGCGGCGCGGGGTTGCGCGTCAGGCCCGCGCCGTCGGCGACCAGGGGCGCGCTGCGCGCCCGGGTTCGCGGCGCTGGCGCTGGCCGCCGCCTGGGGCTGCGCTTGCTTGGCACGGCGGGGCTCATCGGGCTTCGTCGCTGGCGCTGCGGCGCCGCGAACGCCCAGGCCAGCGACTCGCCGGCGGACCTTCCGCCGCTTTTACGGCGACCCGAAGTACGACCAGGAGTGGAAGAACGACCCCACCGACCCTCGGTGGGACAAGGAAAAGCGCGAGTTCGAGTGGTTCTTCACGACGGGGGAGTTCAAGGATAGGGACCTCAAGCTCGCGGACCTGCCGAGGCCTGGCGGCGAGGCTCTCAAGGACTTCTGGAACACGATGTACGAGAAGGGCGTTCTGTTTGCCTTGCTCCAGTCCGTGTTCACAATCGTGGCCTTCGGCGCGATCTTCGAGTACTTGCCAATCCTCATCAATGGCTTCCTGAGAGCCGTGTTCAAGATCCCGATTCCAGACGCAGCCGCGTGACGTTCGCCTGCGCCGCCCCGGGATTCGGCGGCCCGGCCCCTGCGCCGGGATGGGCCTCCGCCGCCGCCACCTGGGAGGCCACGCCGCCGAGCCGCTCAGTGATGGGCAGTTTCGTTTCTTCCCGCGCGTAGCATGTTCCTCGAGCGAGACGGCTGGGCGCTGTGGGTTCCCGACCTCCTCCTGCACACCCTTATTGCCCCCTCGCTGCTCTCTCTCAAGCTTCATGATCGTCTCGGTGTGTTCTTCAGGCTTTCTTGTTGTACTTTTTACATTCTCGCCCTTTCGATCCAGACCTGTGAATCTCGCTGGCGTCGGCGCAAAAAAAAAGACGCCCCAAGAGAGCCCCAAGAGGCCCCCCCACGAGGGCCCCGGGATACCAAACTGGCCCCATTCCTTTGGTAACACGTAAGTTTTTCTCATATCCTTTCCCTTGGATATCAGAGCGCCCAAGCTGCCCCAAGATGCGCCTACGGAAGCCCCAGGACGGCTTAGGACAGCCCCAAGATGGCCCAGGAGGGCCCCAAGACGGCCTAAGTGAGCCCCAGGCGGGCCCCAAGTTCCAAGAAGGGCCGTGAGGCTTTATCTTGGGCCGTCTGGCTTCCAACATGCCGACAAGACCATCTGGGAGGCCTCCAGGACGCCCCAAAGAGAGCCCCAGAAGCTCCCAAGAGGTCCCCCCGAGGCGCCGAGAGGCCCCCTGGAGGCCCCGCAGAGGCGTCCAAGAAATCCATGAGAATCGTTCCGCGAGGCACCGAAAAGCATCCGAGATGCCCCTGACTCACGTTCCGCGCACAGGTATTGTTTGTACGTGCCTCTATTTGTGTGAACTTGTCTGTGTGTGCATGTGTCATCCTCCTTCCACCTCCTCCTCCTCCTCCTCATCCTCCTCCTCCTCTTGCTTCCTTCTCTTGCCTTCTCCCTCGTCAAGAACCGTTCTGGCTCAACTGCGCCGCGGCGCTTTTGGCCCGCGTTCCGCACCTTTGCGAGGTGTTCTTGACGATGGGCTGCGCCGCCGCGCCGCGTGCCGTGGCGAACCCCGACTAAGGCGGAGCAGAGCACGCAATGAGCTGTTGATGTGGGCCTTTCCCTGCGGCGGCCGCTGGTGCTCGTGCGGGGCGGCCTACTGGCAGGCGCCCTCGGGCCGCCGCCGGCGCTGGAGGTCGTCCACCTGTGGGCGGATCAGGGCCAACCGCAGGCGCCGGAGGCGCTCGGCGCCATCGTGGCCCTCCGCGCCGACATCGCTGGCTTGCGCGCGGAGCTGAGCGCCGTGGGCGGGCGGCCAATCCAGGCGGTAGCGGCGGCGGTCGAGGCCCCGAGAAGCGAGGTGCAGCAGCAGGCAGACGAGGTCGACGAGGCCAGCGACGGCGGCTGGCAGAAGCCGCGGCGCCCTGCAGCCTGCCAGGTGCGCGGCGCCGCGTCAGCGAAGCCCTTCGCGTCGCCCACGCGCATCGAGGCGCTGGCGGAGGAGGCCGACTGTGACGGCGAGGGCTTGCCGACCGCCTTCTTGGCCAGCCAGGTGAAGGGCGGAGCCGGCGAGTGCGAGCGCTACGTCCTGGACCCGCTGCGGGAATTCGTCGCCGCTGGAGGCGGGGAGAGGAAGGGGCAGCCCTTCGCTCGCCGCCGTGCCCAGGACGGCGAGGACGTGAAGGACAAGCTGGACGTGATGACGTCCGTGTCGCAGCCCGCGCGCTGCGCCCGCACGGACGAGCCGCTGATGGAGCTGGTCGCCGAGGGCGTCGGCGCCGAGACGGGCGTCGTGCCGCTGGCAGTGGACGGCTTCGACGTCACCGCGCGGCTCGGCAGCAAGCTGGAGAGCATCGGCGGGCAGCAGGACGTCGACCACAGCGGGCCCATGCGTGGCGAGGGGGGAGTTCACTGCGACGGTGAGAGCAACCTGGAGGGCCTCGACGTGAAGAAGGACTCCTGCTACCGCCAGCCCCTGCGCGGCGAGGGGGTAGGCCACATGGATGGCGAGAGCAAGCTGGAGGGCATCGACGTGCCGAAGGACATCGACCACGGCGAACCCCTGCGCGGCGAGGGGGTAGGCCTTTGAATGCGAGTTCGAGGGCAAGCTGGGGGGCATCGGTGCGCTTCACGGGCGGCAGTGGTCCAGGCTGGGCCCTTCCCAGGCCAAAATCTCCATGGAGCCCTGCTGAAGGACGTCGGCCACGGCAATCTGGGTGGCAGCGACGCGCAGAAGGACGCTGGCTACGTCGGACCCCTGCGCGGCGAGGGGGTAGGCCGCCAGGCCACGGCGCGTGCGAGGTCAAGCAGGAGGGCGTCGACGCGATGAAGGATGTCGACCACGGTGGACCCTTGCGTGGCGAGGGGGTCGGCCACTGCGAGTGCGAGGGCAAGCTGGATGGCAGCGACGTGCTGCAGGGCGGCGACCACGATGGACCCCTGCGTGGCAAGGTTGTTGGCCACGGTGAGTGCGAGGTCAAGCTGGAGAGCCCCCGCGCGATGAAGTGCAAGCTGGTGGACATCGGCAAGAAGGGCATGCCGAGGAAGAAGGGCAAGGCCGCGCAGGCGACGGACAACCCCGCAGGCCTGCCCACCGCGGACGACGCCGCCGAGCGGGCCAGGCAGGCGCTCAGCCTGGCTTCCGCCGAGTGCCGCCAGCGTGAGGCCCAGTTCGCAGCCGCCCGCGCCGACCTCGCCATCGAGGAGATCGAGGTGCGCGCGGCGGTGGCGGAGCTGGCAGCGGCGGGCGGGGCCGGGGACGAGCCCCCCGTCTGAGGCCGGTGGCCTTCCCGCGCCTCGGGCGCGGGGGTGGGGCGTGGCGGCTCGACCGTCACTCTCCCGCTTCGCTCTTATCCTAATCCCTTATAAGAATATGCTCTTACTCCCCCCTCTGGCCAGCCGATGGGGTTTCCATCCGGGCCCTCCCATCCGAATATGTTTTGAATCAATACAAAGTCGTCGTTTATTTCTCTCAGCATGGCCTTTCTTGTCGTCGACGATGCGAAATGCGTAGCAGGAGCGGGGCGCGGCGCACATCGCGCGCGGCCGTCAATCCAGGCCCTCCCATCTTAACCGCAAAGAATGAATTAAAAGTCGTCGTTGATTCTCTCAACGTGGCGTTTTTGTCGTCGACGCGAAGCGCGCAGCAGGAATTGGACGCGGCGCACACCGCGCGCTGTGTGTCAATGTGCTGTGTGCTGTGCTATGCTGTGCTGAGCTGTGCTGTGCTGTGCTGCGCTGCGCTGCGCTGTGGTGCGCTGTGCTGTGCTGTGTGAGGAGGAGAATGAGGGGGAGGTGTGTGTGTGTTGTGTGTGTGCGGGAGACGCGGGTGCGACGCGGCAGGAATGAAAACCGGAATTGTGCTGTGCTTTGCTGTGCTGTGTTGCGCTGTGTTGTGCTGCGCTGTGCTGTGTGAGAAGAAGAAGGAGGAGTAGGGGTGAGGAGGAGACGCGGGTGCGACGCGGGATGGAAGAAAACCAGAACCTCTTCAAGCATGCGGGGAAACATGTGAACAAATGAACAAAAGGTATCGCCGGGTCGGCGCGTGGGCTGGGTGGCCTTTCCGGGTATGTACACTACAGAATCGGTTTACCCCGTCGAATCTGCCTAAAGTTACATAGAATGTTCCGCACACCTACGAACATTCTACGCATCTTTCGTAGATTCGAGCAGGGGATCAATTTTGGGGTGTATCGATTCTGTAGTCGATCCCGTACTCGATTCTGCAGGCCTGCTCCCACTCGCTTCCCCCCTGGGTGAACCGCGAGTCGAAGGGCAAAACAGTCGACACGAGATCTAAATTCTATGACTCAGTTGGGCCTGTCCCTCTAGAGGAGGAATATTCAAAAATGGTAAAGCTTAATCTGGGGACGGTTCGTTGACCATTTTTGAGCAGTTTGGTGGTATTTTGTTTTGAGTATGTTTAATGTTTCGTCCGAAATCCCCCTTGTATGGGGTACAGGCCCGACCTAAATTCTATGACTTGGCATCGCGCGGACGTGTACATTTTCCTTCGGCGAGGACCATCGAGGAGCATCCTCGATCACCTGGCGAAAAAAACACGCACGAAACCAAAAAAACAACTATGATCCCGGCACAACAACCTAACAGCGATGTGTAGGAGCATGTCTAAAAGCATTCCCTTTAAGATTCAGGTGAGAATCCTGCTGTAGAATTCTGCTGTTCTCGCAGTCGTAGTCGCATTCGCGATGGCCGTCGCAGTGGCAACGGCAGTCGCAGTCACAGCCTCAGCCTCAGCCTGCCTCAGCCTCAGCCTCAGCCTGCCTCAGCCTCAGCCTGCCTCAGCCTCAGCCTCAGCCTGTCTGCCTTCAGCCTCGGCCTCAGCCTCAGCCTGCCTCAGCCTCAGCCTGCATCAGCCTCAGCCTCAGCCTCAGCCTGCCTCAGCATCAGCCTGCCTCAGCCTCAGCCTCAGCCTGCCTCTGCCTCAGCCACAGCCTGCTTCAGCCTCAGCCTCAGTCTGCCGTCGGCCTCGGCCTCAGCCTCAGCCTGCCTCAGCCTCAGCTGCATCAGCCTCAGCCTCAGCCTCAGCCTGCCTCAGCATCAGCCTGCCTCAGCCTCAGCCTCAGCCTCAGCCTCAGCCTCAGCCTCAGCCTCAGCCTGCTTCAGCCTCAGCCTCAGTCTGCCTGCAGCCTCGGCCTCAGCCTCAGCCTGCCTCAGCCAGCCTCAGCCTGCCTCAGCCTCAGCCTCAGCCTGCCTCAGCCTCAGCCTGCCTCAGCCTCAGCCTCAGCCTGCTTCAGCCTCAGCCTCAGTCTGCCTTCAGCCTCGGCCTCAGCCTCAGCCTGCCTCAGCCTCAGCCTGCATCAGCCTCAGCCTCAGCCTCAGCCTGCCTCAGCCTCAGCCTCAGCCTGCCTCAGCCTCAGCCTCAGCCTGCCTCAGCCTCAGCCTCAGCCTGCTTCAGCCTCAGCCTCAGTCTGCCTTCAGCCTCGGCCTCAGCCTCAGCCTGCCTCAGCCTCAGCCTGCCTCAGCCTCAGCCTCAGCCTCAGCCTGCCTCAGCATCAGCCTCAGCCTCAGCCTCAGCCTCAGCCTCCTCAGCCTCAGCCTGCCTCAGCCTCAGCCTCAGCCTGCCTCAGCCTCAGCCTCAGCCTGCAGCCTCAGCCTCAGTCTGCCTTCAGCCTCGGCCTCAGCCTCAGCCTGCCTCAGCCTCAGCCTGCATCAGCCTCAGCCTCAGCCTCAGCCTGCCTCAGCCTCAGCCTGCCTCAGCCTCAGCCTCAGCCTGCCTTCAGCCTCAGCCTCAGTCTGCCTTCAGCCTCGGCCTCAGCCTCAGCCTGCCTCAGCCTCAGCCTGCATCAGCCTCAGCCTCAGCCTCAGCCTGCCTCAGCATCAGCCTGCCTCAGCCTCAGCCTCAGCCTGCCTCAGCCTCAGCCTCAGCCTGCTTCAGCCTCAGCCTCAGTCTGCCTTCAGCCTCGGCCTCAGCCTCAGCCTGCCTCAGCCTCAGCCTGCCTCAGCATCAGCATCAGGCTGCCTCAGCATTCAAAATGTGGCCCGGGGATGGAGTTCTGGGAACTCGAAGGACACGAAGTGGCCTACAGTTGGCTCCGGGCATTCAAAATCATGCCCAGGAATGGAGTTCTGGGAACTCGAAGACCACGAAGTGGCCTACAGTTTGCTCCAGGCATTCAAAATGTGGCCCGGGAATGGAGTTCTGGGAACTCGAAGAGCACGAAGTAGCCTACAGTTGGCTCCGGGCATTCAAAATCATGCCCGGAAATGGAGCTCTGGGAACTCGAAGACCACGAAGTGGCCTACAGTTTGCTCCGGGCATTCAGAATGTGGCCCGGGAATGGAATTCTGGGACCTCGAAGACCACGAAGTGTGTAACTGTTGGCTAACAAAAAGTCCCCGGCACCCTCCCCCGGATCGCGCCCAGACCCCCCTGGGGCGTCATGATGCTCTCTTTTGACCCTACTAAAAACCTATCAGTCTTCGCTGTTAGGTAAAAGCACAGGGAATGGACGTCCGAGCGATGGCCAGTCCCCGAGGACCCCAGAGCAGTCATGTTGTCATGACGTGTCGCTGTTCCCCTAAGCAGGGATCGGAGGTGGACAGACCTCCTGCCCTGACGCGTCGAGTCAGGCACTGGCCGTGTTCGGTTCGCGAGAGGGCGTCGCTGCCGTTCTGTTTGCGGGTCCAGGTCCGTCGGTTTCGGTCCCAGGCCGTTGTTACTAAGGGGAGGTTTACTAAAGGGAGGTTTGTCAACCGCCGTGTTGTTGTTGTTATTGTTGTTGTTGTTGTTGTTGTTGTTGTTGTTGTTGTTGTTGTTGTTGTTGTTGTTGTTGATTTTGTTGTTGTTGATTTTGTTGTTGTTGTTGTTGTCGGTATACCTTGTCGTCGTTGTTACTAAGGGGAGGTTTACTAAAGGGAGCAGTCGTGTTGTCATGACGTGTCGCTGTTCCTCTGAGCAAGGATCGGAGGTGGATGGACCTCCTACCCTGCCACGTCGGGTAAGGCATTGGCCGTTTTCGGTCCGCGAGAGGGCGTCGCGGCCGTTTTTATGTTTGCGGGCCCAGGTCCGTCGGTTTCGGTCCCAGGCCGTTGTGACTAAGGGGAGGTTTACTAAAGGGAGGTTTGTCCACCGCCGTGTTGTCGTTGTTGTAGTTGTAGTTGTAGTTGTTATTATTATTGTTGTCGTTGTGCCTTGTCGTTGTTGTTACCAAGGGGAGGTTTACTAAAGGGAGCAGTCCTGTTGTTATGCCGTGTCGTTGTTCCTCTGAGCAAGGAGCAGTTCTCGGGGCACTGCCGGCCTGAATCATGCGGGTGGAGTTCGTGTTTGCGTGCCGCTCCGGAAGTCTTGGCACACCACGCTTCGGCGCGACACGCTGACCAGGTCCCGAGATGCATGAAGTGTTGCCCAGACCGCCGCGGAAACACGCCAAGCAAAAGATTTCGACCGCACGTTTATCCTTATGATTGGTATCACATTATCTCCATGCTGATCTTAAGAAATCCCTCAGTTTCTGATGGCGCATCCCTGAGATTGTGATTGCCTTTTGGCCTTTCAATCTTAGGGCTAGCGGTGAAGCTCGAGGCTGTGTATGACTGCATGCAACTCCGAGAAGTCAGAAAGGGGTCTCAAGGAAGGGAAAGGGACAAAGAGGGAGAGATGCGGTAGGGAGGGAGGGGGAGGACGTGTGTGTCTCTCTTATCCCCCCCGCTAACACCCATGGTCCATCTCGACCCGATCGATCCGACTCGATATCGATTCCACCCGGCTTGATCCGATTTGCCTCCGATGCTTCGACAGCCCAATCAGGGCGATGCTCGCATGGCGTTGTTGTGCAGCCTGGCGCGGCCGATCCGATTCGATTCCGACTTCGTGCCGATGCGGCCCGATTCGACGCACGTTCCGATCCGATTCGACATCGACTGCCCAGAACTCCGACGTCGTGGTTTTTCAACGTGGACCCCCGATTTCCTCGACCACTTCTTCAACGGGACTGTTTTTTTACCCCGAGTCGTTCTTCGACTGGGATCGGTGAAGTAAGGCCCTCCGCGGCCGGACATTCAATCAAAAGCACCCGTGAGTCTTCCACAACGAGAGGACGTCAGGGTTCTGATCCGATCCGATGCGGGCGGATCCTGATGCCGGGGGTCGTTTTCGGTAGCGAAATCCGAACCCTACCTTCGACGATCAACGATTCAGGCAACTCGATTGTCGGCGTGTGTAGGGCTCGGAATTCGTCGAACACGTGGCGGAATCCGAACCCTACCCCTGCTTCCCATCGATCCAGGGTGGGCGGGGGTTGGGTTCGGATTTCGCCACCTAGATCAAAAGTCGGCCCAGGGGAAGGGGTCGGGACTTTCGGAGACCCTGCGTTGCAAGAGACCTCCACGTCGGAAGTCCAGGTTGCGTTCATCATCATCATCATCATCATCATCATCATCATCATCATCATCATCATCAGCAGCAGCATCATCACCATCATCATCATGATCATCATCACCACTGACATCGCCACCGCCATCATCCTCATCATCAGCATCAGCATCATCATCACCACCATCAGCATCATTGCCGTCATCATCGTTCTAATCATCAGCATCATCAACATTACCCTGCTCATCGTCACCATCATCATTACCAGCATTAGCAATATCATTACCATTATCGTTGGCAACGCCATCATCATAATCATCAGTAGCATCCTCCTCATCATCACCATCATTATCACTATCATTACCTTTGACAGCAACATTGTTAACATCACCATCGTCATTGTCATCGTCATCGTCGTCATCATCAGCATCATCACCACCATCACCATCACCACCATCACCATCACCATCATCATCATCATCACCACCATCATCTTCATCGTCATCGTCGTCGTCATCATCATCACCATTATCACCATCACCACCATCATCAACACCATCACCATCATCATCTGCATCGCGTTCGGATGTCGCCACCCAGATCCTGACGCCCGCGGTCCCAGGTGCCTGGACCGCAGCGGCCTGGCGCCTCCGGGGCATCCCGCGGACGCCCCGCGCCTCAGTGTTCGCGATCGGCGATCGGCACCCCGCGGCCGACCACGGACTTGTCCCAACGAAATCCGGCGACGACAGACGATCAACGACCGACGGCCCACGATCAAACACCAACGACGGACGACCGACGATCAAAGACCGACGACCGACGCCCGACGCCCGAAGCCGACGCCGATGCCGACGCCGACGCCGCCGACGCCGACGCCGACGCCGCTGCCGACGCTGATGACGACGACGACCACGACGACGATCACGTCGACGACGACGAACGACGACGATGACGACAACGACGACGACGATCACGAACGATGACGACGACGACGACAGGTCCTGACATGATCCCTACCGCCGAAGGCGACCGGCAACCGAATGATGTTTTCAATTGGCGGCTTTTCATTGATGTTGGCCCTCGGGGGCAGTTTTGGGCCCTGGGGTAATTACCAACGGATCTGGGAGAATTGATTCCAGGCGCGGGGTCGGGACCTCCGTGAAACCGCGAATAAAAAACATCGCGTGTCAGCTTCGGCACGCCCCACCAATGGTGATTTGCACCGAAGGCTCCAGAGGGCATGTTCGCATGCTGGGCGGCTCTACTGCGGCACACCCATCACAGGTTTCGTGGCCCCACACGGTGCTCCACCTGCGGCCCCGCCGGTCGCGTTCGCATGGCGACGCCGCCCGCATTTCGACGAACTCCTCAAGCTGTACATGCGGCCACAGTGGGTGCGCTCTCGCAGGAGCCGCCGCCCAACACGGCACTCCCCTGACACGGATCGTGCCTCACAGGAAGTTCGGCGCCTTTGTGCACGTCTGTCCCGCTGCCCTCCGTCCGCGCTGCCCCGCTGCGCGCTGCGTGAGGAAATGCCACGCCCTGCGCTACACGTAGCTGCAGATGCTTCGTGTGGGCCCTTCGCCACTGTTCCGTTTCTCGTGGTCGGCCTCCGGGGCCCCTGCTGCGCCCGGAGCCCTCCGAGAGATGTCGCGCGGGACGGTCCAGGCCCACCGCGTGGCCCGCCGCGTGGCTCCCGAGGTTTCGGGTGCGCGAGGCTCGGGGATGTCCGCAGGCAGGCACCACGCAGCAGGCACCGCCCCTCCGACATGCAGTCGGGACGCTGAAGCATGACGTCTTTTCGTTGGGGGGGGGGGCTCTCGATGCTCCTCCATTGTTGCACAGGTTGCCTTCGGTTCTCCCGCCACGCGGAGCAGAGCGATACGCTATCCGCGTGCAGGGCATAGCGTGTCGCCAGGGCCGCCGCGGCGACACGCCGAGCAAATTTTCCTTGCCGTGGTCCCCCACGCTCGCCATGGCTGCAGCGACGCCCTGGGCCCGCAGCCGTCCCTGCGGCTCTCCCAGTGATTCCCCGCCCCCCCCCCTCGCTCCGCCCCCAGGTCCCGCACAACGAGGCGGCCTCGAGGGTGCCCCCGCAGCCAGTGCCGCAGGACCCGGGCGGGGCTACGAGGGGCAGCTCTCTTCTCTTCGTCAGCGTGCGAGGAGCTCGGCCGCGGCAGGGCAGGCGCCCGAAGAGTTTTCGTGGCCCCAAGAGATCCGAGGCTCCAGCGAAAATCGGAGCGGTCGGTTTTGTCGCGTATTTTCGGCCTCCGGGGGGCCCTCAACGGGCCCCGGGACCGCCAAACAACGATTCGGGATGGAAAGCCGAGTGAAAGACTGGCCCTGGGGAAGTTGTCCCTCCAGGGGTCCACGCAGCAAAAAAGACACGAGCTCCGGATCTCTGGGTCCTCTCGCGTCGTTGCGACGATGATGGTGCTGGAGGTGCCTGGTATCCTTCCAGCGTTGCTACTCGACTCGTAGTTCCTTGGGCCCCTCCAGGAACCAGTTACGCCCTCGTCGAGGGAAGTCTCCACTGCAGACGGGGCTCGTCACAAGAATCCTCCCTTCCGCCGTCGCGATTCCTTCGCGACGCGGGCGCCTGGGGGATCTTGACCCCTTCCCCAGGGCCGGCCCTGGATCCGGAGTTTTTGCTTGACGGTCCCAAGGCCGGGAAAGGACCCCCAGAGGCCGAAGACGTCAAACGTTGTCGTCGAGATTTTGCGGCGCCCAGATCTGAGGGTCGCCTAAACAATCCCCACGGGACCAGAATCGCAGGCTCAAGCCGCAGAGCAGCATATTGCCTTGAATTTGGTTCAGCTCGGGCGGAGCACTGACAAGGATGCATCAGTTCCAGAGCGTGTTGGAAAGCTCTGAGAAGGCCGCGGCACCCGATACATCCTCCGGAGCCGCCGGGCCTCAGAGATTCTCGACTTGTCCTCATCCGAATTCATCCTCGTCCTGGCCTCGTGCTAGAGGAGCAGATTGCCTTGAGTCTGGTTCAGCGGTCAGCGCTTGACATCGAGATCCAGGGGGTGCTGCCGCGCGCACGGCTCCCGCACGCACAGGGAGGTCTGAGCTGCGGTGAAAGAGAGAGAGGGAGAGACAGAGAGAGTGAGTTCGGTCCGAAAACCAGCATGAGATGCAGCCTTTCCGTTGGTTTGCGTTTACGGCCTCTGGAGGCCGCTTCCCGGTTCCAGGATCGTCAAGCAACGGTTCAGGATGAAGGGCCAGCCTTGGGGACCTTGTCGAGATCCGTTGGGAATTGTGTCATGAGCAGGGAGTTTTTGTTGTGTGTCTGTGCGTGTGTGCGGGGGCATTTTCTTTGGGTGGGGGGCAGAGGGTGAGATCTGAAATGCCGTTTCGATTGATTTTCGAGGCTTGAGTCTGCAAAAGGTGAATCACAAGACGGATTGATTGTCGAGGTGCAAAAGCCCACATGGATTTCACCCTGAGCCCTCCACCCTAAGAAAATGCTCAGGGGGGGTCCCCGAGGAGGGTATCGCTCGGCTTTGCCGAACGCCCCGGCGGTTTCTCGTTGCCCAGGTCCGAGTCTACCCCTGCTGTTGTGTGTGGGCTTGCGGTGCCACTGGCTTGCCTTCGCTGCGCGTGGGACTGGCTTTGACACCAGCTCCGATTCCACTTCCAGGGCCCCGAAGTGACCCGCCTGTGAGATGCTCCGTCGCAGTTGCTCGCACAGCGTTGTGATGTTTTCCAAGGCCTGGGCCTGCGACGACGTCCTTCTGTGTGCTCTCTCTCGAAGCAGGCGACGCAGAAGCAGGAGACCGAGTTCGTCCACACCATCGAGGAGTCCTTGCAGCAAGGTGAGCTGGCGCGGAGCTTAGAACACAATGGTTCCGACGTGCGAGCTACGCGATTACGAATCTCTGCGTTGTCCCGCTGGAGGTTTGCCTGTATGCCTCGTTCGTATTCTCGAGGCTCCTTCATAGCCCAACCTGCAAAACCAGGCGGGATTTCTCTGAGGGTGATCCCCATCCCGCCGTGTGTTGCTTAGGGATTCAATGCGAAGATGAACAGAGGCACTGACCCAGGCAAACATGTACAGCAATTCGTGATTTCATTGGAGGCGGTGGACAGAGGAGGACATTGCATCTGATATTGCCTTCAGTCACGATTCGGGGAGCGCGCCAGTATCATATTTCCACATGTCCCTACTCAACCTGATCTGAGTTCTGACCTCAATCGCCTCGTCAGCTGCGAAAGCATTGGCTTCCCAGCCCACGTTTCCCGATGACTCGTGCACGGCTGGCTCCTCTTTCGCGCAATGCGCTAGGCTCCAACACATGCAAGTGAAATTTGAGGGCGCCCACGATTATTCTTGCGCGTGTACCGCATGTACGCGCAGGACTTCACACGTGTACAATACACGAGTTGTAGTCTACGTGCACTTATGCATGTACATATGTGCAATGCACATGCACACAGTGCACCACAAAACGTCCGTCTTCTAAGAACCGAGAGTATTGGCATGTTGCCCTCGGCGAGCGCTGGCGGACTGTCCGCGAGAGCTGGCGGAAGCGAAACGAGGGCGGGCCCGTCTGCGGCGGATGCTGGGCGGGAGTGCGATGCAGCTCCCCCATGAGAGACCAACTCGGGCGCACCGAGGGCGTTGGGCCCTCCCCCTCCCGACAAAGCATTCGCAGACGCGCACGCACGCACACACTCGTACGCGCACACTCTTTCTGTTTGTCGCGGACCCGGCGAGTGCGCAGGTCGGCCGAGCGGCAAGGCACACTTCTACACACATGCGCCCGCATTTCTCGCGTCAGCGGCCCAGTCAATGGCCCTGGCCAGCGCGTGCCAATTCTTAGGGGCACGACAGGCCAGGCCAGGCTGATGTGAGTTCCGCTGGCCGCAGGAGGACAGGACGCGATCCGAACTCCACGCATTCTCGCGGGAGCGCGCCGTCGCGGATGGAGGGAACATACAGTGGAAACCCATGCCAAGAAACACCTTGGTTGTCTCCGGGGTGCCCGTGGTTTCTTGAGTTGCGGTGGTTTTTCTCTGGAAAGCGTGACGTTCCCACACCAAGAATCAATGGACGTCATAGGGTCTCAGGGTTGGGTTTCCTGTGGAAGGTTTTTTTGTGGTCGAGCCCCTACTGTGCCTGCCCACGCATACCCTTTCCCCAGCGCGCGGAGTGAGCTGGGGTTGCGCCAGTCGGGCAGTGCCCAGGGGGGTCACCATGAGGGGGGTCACCACCTCCTCCTGGAAGTCGAGGATCCTTGAGGTCTTGGACGTTTTTGGGCGTCTTTTGGAGTCCTGTGTGGGCTGGTGGATCCATGCGATGGTCCGTTTCCTCGTGGAGGTGGCGAGCCCATAAGTGGTGGCCCCCTTTGTCGCTGCCTGCGCTGGGGTCACCGCCAAGGGTGTGGTGAGGGAGCTCCAGCGCCGACCCGTGCGGACCTCCGACGGTGAATGCTGACATGTTTTTTTTTGTGGCTGGTGGTGGCGAACTCCTCCACGTTCTGAGCGAGCCCTCGGTCCTTTCCCGTCTCCGCGGCCGTCCCTACCGAGGGCTGCCGCGCCTTACCCGAGTGGCTATGAAGCTGCCCCCCCTTTGGATGCGCGCGGGTGAGCATGGGCCCTGACCGACAATTGTACAAAAGCAGAGCATGAAGCGCCACCATCAGGGGCACTCATTCTGATGGGCGGGCCCCCCTCAGCCCCCCCTCTCTGACACGTTCTGGCCGGGCCCTCGTCCTCTCCTGTATCCGCGGCCGTCCCATGGCGAGGGGGCTCCCGCTCGGGACATCCTCGCGACTCGCTCAAAAACGAGGCTCCCGCCTGAGGCTTCTTCAGAATTCGGGCGTGAAGGGTGAGGAGGAGGAGGCGGAGGAGGAGGAGGAGGAGGAGGACGCCTCTCAATCGCCGCACCGCCGCGAGCGTCGCACGGCGGACCTCGTTCGCTCCCCCCGCACCTCTGTGCACAGGGCGCGCCCTTCTCGGGCTCGGCTGCCGCTCCGACCGCCGTGCGATCTCGTTCGGGGAGCCGCTGGTACCCAAAGCAGCCCCTTCCCGAGCAGCTCGCTGGTGAAGGGGAAAACACAGACAGGAGTAATCGTCGACTCCCAGAAAATGTGGTGAATCTTGGGATTTGTGTCTGCTTATTTGTGTGTCCCTTGGCCCCTTTTTTAAGGATCCTGTAAAACTGTCCGGGCGCCCCGGTGAGGGCCCACGACACCGGTGGCCCATCGTGACCCCCCACAGTGGCCCCCCATCTTGGCACTGTGCAGTTGGTTCGCGCCTTCTGCCGGAAGGGTGTCATTCCCAGGCGTCTTCTGGCATGATTTGTCCAATCCGTGGCCCCAGAGCTCCCGCCCTCTCTCCCGGGGGTAGACTTGTATGTCGTCCCCGGGTCGTTGTTTGATGTCGCCGGGGCCCGACAGCGGGCCCCAGAGGCCGAAGTGAAGGACAAGAACGCTCTCCCAGACCCCCGACGCCATGATTTTATCATACACCAAACTCCAGAGGTCTCGGCCACTTCCTCGGGATGGGTTTCTCATCCTGAGTCATTTTGATGGCGGTCCTGAGACCCAGCAAGGGCCCCCACAGATGGAAAAGAACGACACCCCATCCCGCATGTTTTGTTCATGACTCGAGGGTGCCTGGGTTTGAAGGAAGAGACATCATCGGAAGTCTGGGTGGGTGTTGTGTGTGATGGGCATTGTTCCCCCAAACACAGCCTGCTGCCTGGCAGCCTGCCATGCCAGCTTCCCCCCCCCCCCGCCACCACCCCGCTGCTTCTGGCCCTCGCCCCCGGCGCCCCCCCGCCGCTGCCTGGCCCCGCTCTGAGCGGTCCCGGTGTCCTTTTCCTTCCTGCCCGCGCCGGGCGTCCTCCCTCTCTCCCCCATGCATTGCGGCCTAATTCGCATTCGTATGCCCTACCAATGCTCTTCCGCCAGCGCAGTCACTCTGCCTAGCCGCCGACGTAAAAATTGTGTATGTGTGTGTGTGTGTGTGTGTCTGTGTGTGTGTGTGCGTGTGTGTGTGTGTGCGTGTGTGTGTGTGTGTTTTTCCGCAGTGCGCCCTGCTGCCCGCCGAGGCGCAGGCGCTGTGGGACCAATACGCCAGGCGGGCGGAGGAGCTGCTGATCACCATGCCCCTGGAGAAGGCCTCGGCCCGCCAGGGCGTGTCTCTTGGCCATCCCTGGGTCCATCTCGATCCAGTTGAAAATCGGCGTCGATATCGACGTCGGCCGTCTCGATCCGATCCGATGTCGACGAGAGTTTTTCCAGTGCTCTGCCTCTGGGGGCCCTCGCAGAGCTTTGGGGCCTTGAACCAAATGACACCATGGATGAAAAGCTGGTCCCAGGAAGGGGCTCAAGACCTCAGGGCAGCCACGTTTTGACCAAAAATGAAGCGGAGGATATGTGGGTGTGGTGGTGGACCAGGGGGGCTGGAACATGTTTTCGGACGTTTTCGTCGGTTCTTCGTCGTTCACCAGCATCGGGGTACTCTCCAGCAGCGGCGCTTCGCCGAGAGGCGTCCAGGGGTGCCCAGGTCGTCCCGAACGGCCGCGGGCGACCCGAGTGATGGCCCGGAGGCCACGCGACGAGGATCATTCGGGCCGGGCGACCGAAAACAGGGAGGCGAGAACGAATCGGGTCGGACGACGAAAGTGTCTGTGATCCCCAGGACGCGTGTTGATCCAATGTGTATGTGTTTACCCCGTTCGGTCTGTGCCGACCATTGTTGCACCAGCTTCGTCGTATTGAAGGGCGTCGGTTGACCAGCACACGTCGGCGCTAACACACGTTCTGAGGGTCATCGGAAGTGGCCGAGGCGGGAGGCGACGGTTATACGGTTATATCAGCATGAAGAAGGGCTGTCCTGCAGGGGACGGGCCACGGAGAGGGAGGGGGCAGCAGAAGGGAGGCGGACGTCGCAGAGGCGACGGTGATTTGTCCCCCACATGCTTAGTGGGGTTCTGGTTTTCTTCCCTGCCGCGTCGCACCCGCGACGCTCACCTCCCTTCTCTCCTCCTCCTCTTCCTCCTCCTCCTCCTCCTCCTCCTCCCCCTCCTCCTCCTCCTCCTCCTCTTACTTCTGCCCCGCACCCGCGCGCAACGCATGCATGACGCGTACATGAGACACACGTATACCTGCAGCCGCACGCACGCACGCACTTGCAGACACACGCACACACGTGCATACACACGTTAACAACGCCAGTGCATGCCTGGCGTGTTCACTGCATCATGCTCCGACGTCGCATGCGCCACATACTGGGCACCCACGTGAGATACAAGCCCCGATACAGCCGCGCACACATCATACACATGACACACATTGGGCACCCGCATAAGACACACTTTCAGATACAGCCCCACACGCGTCATACACATGACACGCACATCGCACAGCACACGCGCGCAAGATTCGCAAGGCGTGGCAGGCGTGGCACTTTCTCGACACCACAGGGGGTGCGCAGGGGGTGGTCCCTCATCGCGGTCTCTATCCGTCCCAGGGTCGCGGAGCGTGGCAGGCGTGGTACTCTCTCCACACCACAGGGGATGCGCAGGGGGTGGTCCCTCACCTTGGTCTCTATCCGTCCCACGGTCGCGTGGCGTGGCAGGCGTGGCGTTGTCTCTTCACCACAGGGGGTGCGCAGGGGGTTAGTCCCTCATCGCGGTCTCTATCCGTCCCAGGGTCGCGGAGCGTGGCAGGCGTGGCTTTCTCTTCACACCACAGGGGGTGCGCAGGGGGTTGGCCCCTCACCGCGGTCTCTATTCGTCCCAGGGTCGCGGGGCGTGGCAGGCGTGGCATTGTCTCCACACCACAAGGTGTGCGCAGGGGGTGGTCCCTCACCGCGGTCCCCATCCGTCCAAGGGTCGCGGGGCGTGGCAGGCGTGGCATTGTCTCCACACCACAGGGTGTGCGCAGGGGGTGGTCCCTCACCTTGGTCTCTATCCGTCCCAGGGTCGCGGGGCGCGGCAGGCGTGGCACATGCTCCACACTACAAAGGGGGGAGATGGTCCCTCACCGCGGTCTCTATCCGTCCCAGGGTCGCGGACCCCACAGCTCGAGAAGCCTAGAAGCCCTGGAAACCCATCTGTTTGCGACAGCTTCCGCGCCTAGCATCGATCCGTGAGGCTCCCGTGGTCCGAGACAGGGCAACGCATGTCCGGTGTGAAGGCAGGGCAGCACCGCTCGATACATGGCAAAAAAACGAAGCATTCGAGAAACGGCGATGATCTCAGGGGCGGGCGCCTTCCACTCGCGCGCGCGGGTGCCCGTGCGTGAAGGGGCCCTGGGACACAGAAATAAATACACAGATGAAAAACATCCCAATGCTTTTCCATACATTCTGGGTTTTTGTCTTTCGCCCCACTGCCCATATTTTCCCATACTTTCTGGGGAATCGACGATTGACTGTGTCTGTGTGTCTTTCCTCCTCCTGAGTGCGGAGGTGCTGCGCGTTCTGAAGGCCTTCGTCCTCGCCGGCTACCGGGGCAGCGGGCTCTTCCTTCACATCGGCGGCGAGCTGGCCAAGGAGCGGCCGCGGCAGCTCGGGGCCTCTCGGTAGGTCTGGTGCTCGGACGGGTCTCAAAAGCCTTCGGGACGAGGGCAACGTCAGGGGGGATGGGCTCAGGGGCAGCGTTGAGGGGGGTGGGCTCAGGAGGGGGGGGGTCGAAAGTTCTCAGAAGTCTTTTTGGGAAATATCCAGGGCCCGGGATGCTTCCCAGCCGCTGCGCCTCGTCACGGTTCGGGGGTTGCTAAAAGTGCCCCCGGCCCAAGGTGCCCCCAGCTTTTCGCTCCTTTTTGGGGGGCCCATGGGGCTTTCTGGTCCTCGTGAGGGGTGCTCTGGAGGCCGTGGGGGGCCTTGGAAATCCTGGGGCACCTTGGGGCAGTGGCTCTTCCAGCAGCGCCCGAACGCCGAACGGTCGCTCCTGGGATGCCGGGAGCGTCCCCGGCAGCCGCCCGAGGTCGGGGCCACCGTCCGAGAGCAGTCGGAGGATGGCCGGGCGAGTCGAGGCGACGGCGGCCGTCTCGTGTGCTGTTCAGTCGCTCCGGGGCCGCCCTGAGAGGGCTTTCGTCGCCAGCAGGCTTTTGTTTGCATGCAGGGGGGAGGAGGCCTTTGCAGAGGAGGCAGAGGTACCCCTACCCCTACCCTGAAGTCGGGCCTGTCCTCCCACAGGGGGGTTCTGGACGAAAAATAAACCATATTCGAACCATGCCCCCCAAATGGGCAAACACAGTCAAAACGTCGTCCCCAGACCATTTGTAACAATTTTTGAATATTCCTCCTGTAGAGGGACAGGCCCGACTTAACCCTACCCTTTCCTCGGCTTTTCCCTTTTTGGACCTCCTGGGCGGCCATCGTTGCCACCGCTGGATTCGCCTCGGAACTCTGGTCACAACGCACCCCGGGAGAGGTCCATAGAATCGGAGGTTGGAGGGTGAGATCGAAGTGGAACGGAGCGCCCCCCACCGGGAAATCGGTTTCGGTTTCGGATTCGTGTCGTGCGTGCGGGCGAGGCGAAGCTGCGTGGGCGGGCGAGAGGACTGACCCCGCTGTGGCTAGGGCGGGTCAAGAGCCGTTGACCGCCACTCCTCCTTCCACGTTGGGCTGGCGGTGGCTAGGTTGTCCCGCCGTGGTGTCCCGTCGCTGTCCGCTGCTCCCCGCCTTGGGCGGGCGGTGGCCGGGTTGTCCCGCCGTGGTGTCCCCTCGGTGTCCCGCTGGTGTTCCGTGGCTGTCCAGTCGCTGTTCCGTCCGTGTCCCGTCGCTGTCCCGTCGTTGTCCCGTCGTTGTCCCGTCGGTGTCACGTTGGTCTCGTCGTTGTCCCGTCGCTCTCCCGTCGGTGTCTCGTCGGCCTCCCGTCGGTGTCCCGTGGTGAGATCGATAGTAAGATCGATAGTGAGGCCGATTGTGAGATCGATTGTGAGATTGAGCGAGTGAGATCGAAAGTGAGATCGAGGGTACCCCGATGGTGTCCCGTGCTGTCCCGTCGGTGTCCCGTCGGTGTTCCGCGGGTGTTCCGTCGGTGTCCCTTCGATGTCTTGTCGATGTCCCGTGGTGTCCCGTCGGTGTCCCGTGGCTGTCCCGTCGGTCCGTCGGTGTCCTGCGGTGTCCCGTGATGAGATCGAGATCGACAGTGAGATCGGTAGTGAGAGCGGTAGTGAGATCGATAGCGAGACCGATCGAGTATCGAGTGAGATCGATAGTGAGATCGAGCGAGTGAGATCGATAGAAATATCGAAAGTGAGATCGATTGGTGTCCCGATGGTGTACCCATGGTGTCCCGTGGTGTCCCGTCGGTGTCCCGTCGGTGTTCCACGGGTGTCCTGTCGGTGTCCTTTGGATGTCCTGTCGGAGTCCCGTCGGTGTCCCGTGGTGAGATCGATAGTGAGATCGATAGTAGGATCTTGAGTTAGATCAAAAATGACATCTATCGAGTGATAGCGATGGTTGGGTCGATCGAGTGCGACCGATAGCGAGGTCGAGAATGAGATCGATAATGAGATCTCGACGCAGCATCGTCACCACGCGTCGTCGCCAACTCGAGGGCGCATCACTAGCATCGTCATCATCACCGCCATCGCTGCTGTCGTCAGTTGGTTCTTTCTCCCCCCACCAACCTCCTTATCACTTGAATGGTATTCGTATAGGTAGCGGTATTGGTACCCTTTGGTTTCCTCAGAGGGGGGAGGAATGCGTTTTTTAGACTCCGGTAAGCTTGCTTACGTGGACGGGGGTGGGTTGGCGAGGCCCGAGAGGACATCTGTACTTTACGCAAGTCGCGGTTCACTTGCATGCCTTTTCGGCCCAGCGCAGTCTGAGAAGGCGGCGGCGGAGGAGGGAGGCAGAATGCCACGCGAGCGAACTTGCTTATAGGTCTACAGCAAAACGCCTCCGAAAGGGTCCAGATGGACCCTGGGAGGGGGTCTGGGAACCGATTCTGGGCGGACTTGGGCCGGGCGGGGGAGGCGCCCCGGTGATCGTTTTCTCATCCATTGCTCTGCCGTTCGGCGCGGGCCTTTGCACCCCCAACCACGGAGTACAGTCGGCACTGATTGGTAGGTCGATCTTGCCAAATCAAGGGTACCCTTGTGTCCTGTGTCTCGCGACCGATGCCTTCTTACACTCCTATGCCGATGTGGCACTCGGAAGGGTCTTGTGTCCTCTCGCGTGTCCTGTCCAATCAAGTCCGACTGTAGATTTTGACTCTTTTTGTGACCCGCAGGCGGGGTCTCCCCGACGGGACGCGCTGGTGCAAGCAGTCGCACTAAGCAGAGGTCCGGAGCCAGACACCCCCCTCCTTCCGCCCAATGTCGAGACGCCGAAAAAGAAAACGTTGACCCGATGCCGAGTGCAGTGGTTCAAAACGACGTGCTCCGATTCTGGCGCCCCCCAGAGTCTGGGCCGACGCCCCCAGATTTTGGATCTGGCGGCTCGGTTCTTGCAGGATTGCGCGAGGTCTGCCGACCGGTTGTGGCAAGTCATCCAGGTGTTTTGAACGCCTGGACGTTGAGATTGCGCGTTCGACTGTCTTACGGTCAGGAATTTCTGCTTAGCGTGTCGCGCCGCCGGTTCTGGGCCACCATGCTTCGGCGCGACACGCTAGGCACGTCCTGGTCCCTTAGCCCTTAGCCTCGTCGTCCGGAGCGTTTCCCAGCCTCCCGCCTCGCTGAGCGGAGCTACACGCTACGCATCTGCTTCCAAGGAACAGCGTGTCGCCAGGGCCACCGCCGTGACACGCTAAGCACAGGTTCCTGACCGTAGCCTCATTTTCGTAGTTTCATTTTCGAGGCGGTTCACTTCCAGGGACTGGGCACTGGCTGAGATATGAGGCGGAGGGTTTCTGCCTAACCACCTCTTGGGGGGATCGACCTTTGGGGACTCGGCAGGCAGTGTACGTGGGCATATTCGGGACCTGGGGGGGGGGAAGTTATGATCCCCCAAGTCGGTGATGATGGAATCCCCACCTCGCATCCTTATCCTCCACAGCCCTGAGAGCCGAGGCCACGAAACATGCAGCATCCTGAAACGACTCGATCGGAGCCCTGGACCTCATCTTTCTGCTTCTTTTGCCGAGCCCGATCGATCCGCGAGGGCCCCGGGGCCCCAAACGAGGCAGACCCGCCCGCTGTGGAAGAAATGCAGCGCCAGGAACTCAGGAAAGCTCATCCCCTCCGCTCTTCTCGGGCGATCGTAAACATGGATCAGGGGGGGTCCCCTTTCCACGAGAAATCGCGGATTTAGGCCACCGAGCGAGGCGGCACCGGCCGCACTTTGGGGAGAGCACCTCCCCCGATCCATGGATTTGGCGACCGCGCGCCAGATCCATGGATCGCGGATCCATGTTCGCGCGCCCCTGATCTTCCTCCCCCGGGCGGCGGCGGCCGCCCAGTGGCAAAAACGCCCCACGACGAGGCGCCGGCCAGCCCCCCTGCCTGCTGGGGATATGCCCCCCTCGCGCGCGCGGTCGGCGCCTTGTGGTGTGGGGGGCGAGAGCGCGCCCATGCCCGGCCGGAGATCTGGGCGCCTCGGAGAGATTCGACCATACGTAAGAGTGACCTTTCGCCGGAGTGACCTTTGGTGCGGGCTCATCGGGCTGCCCCCGCTCGCCGAGCGCGATGCGATACAAGCGGCCCGCGCCCTTGGGTTTGGCTCCCTCGCGCCCCCAACAGCTGCGCACCAAAGGTCACTCTTACCCAGGGTCACTCTTACGCCTAGCCGAGAGTCGGGAGCCTTGAGACGGGGGCCAATGCAAGCGGGGGTCAGCCAGAGCGCCCGCTCCTGCAGGATCCCGCAGGGCCAGGGTCGCATTGGCCCAGGCTTGAGCGCAGGATATCCTGCAGGGTCCTGCAGGATCTTTCGCCTTGGCCCGGGTTTGGGTGCAGGAGCTTGCAGGATCTGCAAGGTCTGATTGACCCAGGCCTGGATTGAGCCGGGTCAGAAGATCCCCGAGAGAGGCCAGAAAGCCCGCGTGTCTCTTGCTCCGAGAGTCGCCCGTGTTTGTGGCAGCCTCAGATCTCCGATGTGTTCAATTGCGGGTTTTTTTCGTAAATTTCGGCTTCTGCTCGGCATCACCCAAACATGCTTCTGCTGTCTAAGACGCCGCCTTTGGCCTCCTTGGGCCTCCTTGGGGGCTTCTTGGGGGCCTCTTTGACTGTCTTCTGGCGTTCCTGGCCCGTCTGACGCCGTCGGAAGCCGTCTTGGGAGCCTATTTGGACCGTCTTGCGACGGTTTGGGGGCGTGTCAGGGTCGTCTTGAAGGCCATCTTGGGCGTCTCTCCTGGGCTGTCTTGGGGCTCTTTGGGGATCGTCTTGGAAGCCTCTTGGGTCGTCCTGGGGCCATCTTGGAGGCCTTTTGGGCCATCTTGGGGCCTTCTTGGGCCGTCTTAGGCCGTCGGAAGCCCGAAACCAAGCAGATGCCAGACTTCAGAACTTTTGGAACATCGCTGGTTTTCGCCTCTTCGGGCCTTCATCAAGGACATCTCGGACGCCTTTAGGGCCATCTTGGAGGGCGTTTGGGGGCCTCTTGAGCCGTCTTGGGCCATCTTGGAGCAATCTTGGGTTGTCTTGGGTGCATCTCAGGCCGTCTTGGGTGCATCTTGGGGCCATCTTGGGCGGGCTCTTTTTGTGGCATCTTGGCCGTCTTGGAGTCCATCTTGGGCCATCTTGGAGCGGGGAAGGCATTGACTCGGGGATTTGGCTGGCGGGCAGGGGGGAGTTTTTTAGAGAAGAACCCGAGACCACCAGATTTTAGCACACCAGGCATCCATGTGGCAAGCCACAGGAGGCGGCGGATCGATCGGCCTTCGGCCTATCCCTCCACCGTGCCTGTCTCGGGGCCCTCTCGGCCCGTCTGGGGACGCTCCTGAATCCGAAGAAGTAGTGCGGGATGCGCCGGGGAACCGCGGGAAGCATGCAGGACCCTGCAGGACATCTGAGGATCTGGAATCCAAGCCTTGAGGACTGACAGGGACGTGGGGGCACTCCGCCTCGTACCTCGCGGCACGGTGGCAGGTGTGCGCATCGCTCCCCAGGGGCGGCGAGCGCTCGGGAATCTGGTAGCATGTGTTCGGTAGCGGGGGCGCCTCCCGGCCACGCGGCTCGGGAAGCCGTATATGCTGTGCTGTGTCTGTGCTAGATACGTTCGGCTCGGACGTGCGCTTTCACGGTGAGCCGGGGGTGGACAGAACCCCCAACAGTGACACGTCGATTAGTGAATTGTCCGTTTTCGGTTCTCGAGGGGGCGCCGTGGCCGTTATTTTCCAGGCTTGCGCCCGCCAGGTTTGGGCCTCAGGTCGTTTTCACTAAACCACGTTTTACTAAAGGGGGGTCTGTCCATCCCCGATACAATACTAGTGTGTCGTGCTCGGTCCCGTCTGCGGCTCGCCTTTGGGCCCCCCGGGCCATCAGACGTGGGTCCGCAGCGAAAAACCGGCCCTCCCCGGGACAGGGGTCGCGGGCCCCTTGGAGCCAAGCGTTGCGAAAAGCAGGTCGTCGGATGTCTGGGGTTGTCCCCGCGCCCCGGCCCGCCTGGGCCTCCAGGCAACGTGTGGGGCTCGTCGCTCCAGGGCGTCCATCGCCCGGGGCCCCCCCTTGCTCGAGCCAGGCCCCCCAGGCATCGGCAGCGAAGACGTCCAGACACCAGACGTGTTTGTTGTTTTGAGGGAGGCGGGGCGTCGCTTGGGTCTGAGGGGAGGTCTGGGCTTCCTGGGCTTCCGGGGCCTCCACGACCCCAGGGGGCTTCGGGTGCCCCCGCGGCGGGAGCCCCGTTTTCCCCCACCGTCGAGCGGCAGGCCTCTCCGTCGTCGTCGCCGCCGTCGCCAACGTCGTCGTCCCCATCGCCATCGTGCTCGCAGTCGTCGCCGCCGTCGTCACCGTCGCCGTCGCCATTGCCCTGATTGGGGGTGGGGGGGTTCGGAAAGGCGCGGGAGTATCTCTGGATGCCTTCATGCCATCACCCGCCTCGCGCGGTGGTCGAGGGCAGAACCTTAATTACGGCAGCATGCCGGGTCGGTCTGGGGTGGGATCCCGCAGGCCTGTCTGGGGCAGTACTATAGGGGACGTCCTGGACCTCTGGCTCAGGACATGAGACTTCCGCAGATCGGCCATTGCCCCTCGTCGCAAGCAGCCAGCCCTCACCGCTCGCAGCGATCTTCCAGCAAGCAGCCATGGCGTCGGACCTCAATGCGCGGGACGTGGAGCTCAGCAGCGGCAGCGATTCGCCGCCCGACGCAGTTGTTCGGTGGATTCGGTTGCAACTTCTGGGAGGTCAAATTTAGCATCGGCGCTGGTTCATCCGCAGTCGGAAACTGGCCTAATGCCGCTCAGTCAAGCCTGATCCCGCGAAATCCGTTTCACTACTGGTCCTAGCTAGTCGGGCTTCATGCGGCGCTGTGGCCCCGCGATCGAGCTCGGTTTTTTGCTGCCCGTCCCCACGAGGGCCCCCCAGCGGGGAGGGAAGCCTTCGAGACCAGGCAGCGAAGCCCTGCTCAAAAACAGCGCGGACGCAACAGCAAGCACCCCCGGGGAAAGGCCTCGTCGAGGCAGTCCGGAGAGACCACCGGGAGTGGCCTCGTGCAGGTGGAGCGCCCGCAGGCTCCTGAGCGGTGCTGCTGTGGCCTGCCTCGCCTGCGCCGGCGGCGGCGTGGCGTCCCGGCGCTTCGTCGACGCTCGCCTGCCCGAGATGAAGCGCGAGCTGCTGCAGGTGCTGGCGAAGCCGAGGCGGGAGGACTGCGCGGCGACCACCGAGGACTGCTTCGAGGCTGCGTGCTGTGACGTGGCTGGCTATCGAAGACGCCTGCGGGGAGTCGCCTCTGCCCCCTGAAACTTGAGAGCGCCTACGCTTCCAAGCGTTGTGGCGAAGGTATTGGAACTCGTGTTCCCCCAGCCTTTGTGGAACCCCCTGAGGGGGAAATCTTGTGAGAGGAAGGGAAAGGTCGAGGAGAGGGAGGAGAAGGAGAACGAGGAGGAGGAGGAGGAGGAGGAGGAGGAGGAGGAGGAGGAGGAGGAGGAGGAGAGGGAGAAGGAGGAGGAAGAACGGGCGGCCTCTTGAGGCCCTCTTAGGGCCTCCCGGGTGCCTCTTGGGGGCCTATTTGGATCTCTTAGGGGGCATCCTGGGGCCTCTTGGGAGCCTTTTGGAGGTCTCTGAGGGACCGCTTGACCTTCGAAGGCCATCTCAGGGCCCTCTCTAGGCACTCGCGGGTTTTTCTTTGGGTGCTTGAGGGGCGTCTTGGAGGTCTATGGCTCCGTCTTGGAGGTCTATGGGGCCGTCTTGGAGGTCTATGGGGCCGTCTTGGGAGCCTGCTGGGCTTGTTGGCCCGTCCTGGGCGATCATGGGGGCCTACGGGGCCGTCTTGGGGCGTCGGAAGCCCGAAGAGGCGAGAATATAAAAAACAATTATCGATGATTTTGGCGTCCTGGAGGTCTTCTTGGAGGCCTCTTGGGGTGTCTTGGGGGCCGCTTTGGCCGTCTGGAGGACAACTTTGGCTGTCTTAGGGCCATCTTGGACGTCTTGGAGGCGTCTTGGATATTCGTCTCTCTTGGGACCATCTTGGCCGTTGTGGAGGCATCTTGGAAGCCATCGTGGAACCATATTGGCCTTCTTGGAGGCGAGTTGTCCAGTTTTCCCCTCCTTGCGCGTCTTTGCGGGTTCTTTTGGGGTGGCTGGCGGGTTGGGCCAAAAGCCCACTGGAAACCCTTTTCAAAGGACCAGCCACCACCTGACGTCTGGCACTCCGTGCACACCCTGTGGCAAGCCAACATGGGGCGGCGGATCTGCAGGCTTTCAGCCCCTCCCGCCACCGCGCCTGGGTTGTAGGTCAGAGGCTTCTGGGGGCCCTCTTGGCCCGTTTTGGGGTGCTCGTGGCTCCGAACAGGTCATGCGGGAAGAGCCGGGGAACCGTGGGAGGCACGCCGGGAACCCAGGGAAATTTGAGAATTTGAGGTCAGGACCTTTCAATCGTCAGTCCCGGGGACTAGAGACTGCGGAGTGCAAGGGACCTGAGGGCACTTCAACTCATGCCTCGCGGCACGGTGGCGGATACTTGTTTCGTCACGGATTCCCCAGGCAAGGCCGAGTGTCTGAAGAATTGTTCCAAGAGCGACGGCTATGCGTGCGTGGTGCCTGTGCCGAAGGCCCGTGACCCCATGTATCTGGACGATGCCGTTGCGCTTGGGAGTGCCATGTATTGCTTCTCCGTTTACATGGCGGACACTGGCAGCGACGGCACCGTCGCGCGCCCGGACGAGCTGGGCTTGTTGAGGGCGTCGTACGACAGGAGCATGGGGATCTTCGCCTGTGAGAAGTGGGGCATCTTCAGCGACGTGCCAGGCGATCTGAAGCCTGGCGTTGCCTTCGTGGCTGTGGACGATGTGGACGGAGACTTCCACATCCTGAAGCGCAAGGAGACGGGATCTTGGATCAACACAGGCTTGCACACCCAGGTCTGGAAGGCGATTCTGGCAGCCGGAGATTACAAGACAGCCGACTGGGTCGTGAAGGTGGACTGCGACGCAGTGTTTCTGCCCAGCCGTCTGAGGCCCTTCCTCGCCTCCCAGGGCGCGCCCAACCCTCTGACTGGCATTCCCGGCATCTACCTTGAGAATTCGTCGGTCTTGCGCCACGTACGCCGCCCCCCTTGCCCTTTCCCGCTGGCGTTTGGCCATAGGTGGCTTGCGGATGGGGTAGGGAAACCTTCTTTGAGAATTCAGAGAGATCCTTGGGGCTCCAGGTCTTAGAACCTGATGAGTACATCTTCGAGCGGTATCAGGAGCGGAACAAACCGCAAATCCAGTAAAGCTGAATCGGTTTCACAATTTTGCCTGCAAGGGACCTGGCTGGGAGTGTCTCGTGGGTTTCATGGGTTCGCTGGCTGGGGGCCTGTTGCGTCCAGGGCATCTTGGAGCCCACTGCGGGAGACGTTGGCTCACTCCTCTGTTGTGTTGAGCTTTGCTGGAGCCCCAGTTGGCATCAGGAACGGGTGGAATTCGCCTGTGGAGAGGCAATGCACTTGCACGCTTGGAGACCCCGAGGGGCCGGCGGATTGTAAGTTTGTGAAATGGGGTTGGTTCGGGAATTTGGAGATAATGTCGCTCACGGCTGCCGATACGCTCTTTGCGCACATCGACTGGTGCAAGAAGACCCTGGATTGGAAGACAGGAGTGGAGGGCGGGAAGTACGGGCCGATGGGGGAGGATCTCTTCGCACAGGTCTGCTTGGACTCTGTAGGCGTGCGCAGAGGCGGTGCGTTCGAGACCGTTCTGGACGGAGCCTGCGAAGCCGATCGTCCCGTTGACCAGAAGAAGAACAAGAAATGGAGGCCTGAGTGCACGGAGAAGAAAATGGCGGCATACCATCCGTTGATGAAGGTGGACGATTTTGTGACGTGCTACGAACAGACTGTGCAGGCTTTTGGATATTGAGTTGTGCGGCTCTTCTTTCCGACGTGCTGGAGTGATATTGGTCAGAGTTCTTTTAGAGTACATGTTTCCGTTCTAAGTAGTGGTGCAGCGTCGCACAATGCTAATGACGATTCACATATCGAGTTTGTGGATATGCGCAAAGGCCTTGCGAGTCATTGTACGACTTGCTCTGCCATACTCGCTGACTCCCGAACGGGATCTCTCAGACCACGCGCTCTTTCCTCTGGCTCCGCGAGCCAATGTCGCCATTTTTGATTGTCAGATGGATTCCGTCACTCTTTCCTACTCGTCCTCGCAGTTATCGCCCTTTGACAGTTGCGGTTGCGAGCTAGTACCACGTCGAAGCTATGCCAGACGCATGCCCTGGGGCGATCGCTCCAAAATAACTTTCACATGCTGTTGTCCCGCCCAAACCCCCGAGCTCCTCCCTCAAAAAGTGGTTGTTTCGAAGTGAAGGTGGATTCGGGGGTACACCCCCATGGGGGCTACTCGGATGCACGATGCATTGGCCCCCAATCGCCCATGGGAAAACACACGCACACACAGACACACACACACACCGCGGAACAAAAACACATACTGTGGACAAAAACACACACTGTGGACAAACACACACACACACACACTGTGGAACAAAAGCACTGTGAAACAACACACGCTGTGTGTTCTACCTTGTGTGTTTATTTCCACTGTGCGTGTGTGTGTGTGTGTTTCCATAGTGTCCGTGTGAATTTGTGTGTGAGCGTGCGTGTTTTTTCGCCCACCCATCGCCGAGACGGGCCTGAGAACCCACGCCGCCCAGGAGCGTGCGGATGTGCGACCGATGGGCTCGTCACCGATCTGTCGGCGACGCATCGCCGAGTCCAGGCCGATGCCTCCCCCCCTGAAGCCCGCTCCCCCTTGACGTCCCCCCAGGAGGTGGGGTGGCGGGGGGGACAGCCGGCATCCCTGGTGGCGGGTCCATCTGGGGGCATTGAAGTTGGGGTTCGGACTTGGCGTGTGTGTGTGTGTGTGTGTGTTTCCCCGCCGTTAGCCCGACCGCTGATTAGACCAACCTCGCCGCAGACCAAAAAGTGCATTTGTGTGTGTGTGTCTCCGTGTGCGTGCCTGGCTTTGAGTGGGCCGACCGCGCGCGTTTCCCGCGTCCAGCTCGGGCCGTCTACGCCTCGACGCTACGCGCGAGGCCACGACGCCCCAAGTGTGCCCGTGTGTCCGTGTGTGCGTGTGAGTGTGCGCGTGAGTGTGTGTGTGTGTGTGTGTTGTGTGTGTTGTGTGTGTGCGCGCGCTCGCGCGCGCGCGTGTGTGTGTGTGTGTGTGTGGGTGGGGCGGGTCAATGCCGGAGCTATGTTTTCCCCCAGATTGCACGGTCATTTCTTCTTCTTCCAAGGCGTGCCCCGGCACACCCTCGCACGCGCATGCCTGGGGCCAGGTTGCGCTGACCCCCTTTGCCTTGGTCCCCCTCTTCGGCGCAGCCGGGCCGTGGCCCCCGCTCCTGCTCTTTCCTGAGCTCTTCTCTCCTGCTTCCCTGGCCGCCAGCCTCCCAGCTGTCGACCAGTGGCGAGGCGTCCTGGCTCGCCTATGGCCCCACCGAACAGTGTTCTAAGAGCTTTTTGTGGCTCCCACGAAATGTTCTTAGAGCATTTCTGGCTGGGGCTGTCTTCTTTTAACATATCGTGTCTATGTTATAAGAACATTGTTTTCGTTCTTGGAAAATTTTTGGGTTCTAAGAACGCTTCGCGGTATGACTATAGGAATGCCGGGACGGTCGGTCCTTGCTCAAAGCTGGTTTGTCCGCAGCTGGTCCCCAGGCGCCGGCACGCTTCCTCGAAGAGCGCAAGAGAACATCGTGAGCAGAATTGCTCGGGGGCTCCGCGCGGAGTTCTTGGATTGGCGTTTGGGCCACCTCGGCGGCGCCTGGGGCGCCGCCCCTGACGCGCTCCGCCTGCCAGGGGAGGGGGCATCCTGCGCCGATCTGCGCCATCCGCGTTCGGACCTCCGAGGAATCGTGCCTGTGGATCCTTTCCTTGCTCTATATCACGGTTCTCGAGGTCAGTCTCTCGGAGCGTGTGCATTTGTGGCCGCGCTGTTTGGTCGGTTTGGTCGCCTTCACGTGTCCGATCCAAGATGAGTTTCTTGGATATCGTAATTCACATCTCGCCAGAGCAGCCGCGCAACACAGCGCAACACCGCGCAATACGGCACAACACCGCGCCCTTCACTGAGCGACGATGAGCGGCGTTGCACGATGTGTCCTTCCAAAGTCGTTTCCCAGATTCCGCCATGGATCGGGCACGTAACGTTTCAAGAGTGAAGAATAGACACAAGCACACACATACGCTATTTTTGATGACAGGAACGGGAAAGTATGGCGAATGGAGGGGGATAAGGAAATTCTCGAGACAGTGCTTGCTTTTAGGGGTTCTTATTAGGTCTAGAAGGAGCTGGGTCCGGGTGTCGGTCCAGCAGGCTTGTTGTTGCCGTCGCCGCCCGTTGCCGCCGTCTGTCCCTGTTTTTCCGTGCCTGGGTGTTAGTTACCGCGCTTGTTGTCGCCGTCGTCGCCCGTCGCTGCCGTCCGTCGCCGCTTCATTGCGCCTGGGTGTCGGTCGTCGCGCTTGTTGCCCCCGTCGCCGCCCATCACCGCCTTGTCGCCGCCCGTCGCCGCCACCCGATTGCACCCACCCCCGTTGAATTGCAATCGGTTCCAATCGATTGCAATACACTGCTCCACATAGATTGCACCACATAGCCTGCACCACATAGGTTGTATTGTGTATATATACATGTAGATATATACATATAAATCTACATGTGTGTATATACATATATACATGGCACGACGTAGCTTACATCACGTAGCGCTACACAGCTTACATTGTTCAGGTGACCCCACAAAGACTTCACCACATAGCCGAAACCGCATACTTTGCTACACACCGGCTGCAGGACATAGCTTACACCACAAACATGCACGACGTGAACCATTGCATTACGTTGTTTTCACCACCATAGTTTGCATCACATTGCTGGTGTCATATATACATGTATATATGTAGTGCTTCACATATACTTCATCACATCGTCTACACTACATGTCTGTACTTGCAGATATCTCGTTTTACATACGATTGCACTACATAGTCTTCTCTGCACCAGGTATCTTCCGCCAGAAGCACTGCTGAACATATATAGCACCACTTGGCTTACATGACAGAAGCTGCACCGTATATGTTACAGCACAAGTTGCACCGCATAGCTTGCACCACACAGCTCACATGGCGTTGATATGCACCACATAGCTCTCATCCCACAGATCGGACTGCACACAGTCTCCTTTCGGACAGAGAACAGATGCCACCACCTCGCCGAGGCCCGACTTCACCCGTCACCCTCTCGCGTATTGAAATGTGCATATGATGTTGTTCCCTCGTTCATCCACATATGAGTTCATGCCATCCCAGCCCTGCAAGTATCGCCCCCCCCCCGCCATCCTTGTCAAATAATTCCATGCCGTGCATCCGCTTATAAAAGGCCAGGTGCCAACAACATTTTGCAATACACACACATTTATTATACATAGTACGAATTGCGCACGTGCGCGTCGACGCGCGCGCATGCCGAACTCCTTCAAACAACTGTGGCTCCCGTAAGGAAATTGAAATCGAGTGCCCCGAAAACAAACGAACAACACAGTCTTGCAAACTTAATGTTCAATTCAGTCTGCAAGCGAGTTCGTGCGAATTCTTCAGACAATTTCAGGATTTCCAGAGCTTCAGCAAGGGGGACCAAGCGTGTCTCTCCCGCGCGCGTGTGGAAGTCATTCGAACGCCCTCGCGCGAGTGCTGGGGGGGACTTGACCCCTGTCAAATAATACCATGCGGGCCACTCGCGCGCGTCGGCCGCGCGCATGTCGAAATCTCTCCTAAACCTCACAGACACGTGGACACCATCATCGTCATCGGCGTGATCACCATCGGTGCCGTTTTTGGCCTTGCCGTCGTCATCGTCATCGTCGTCACCCGCATCGCTTCTGTCATCATCGTGTCTGCCATTGTCGACGTCGCCATGGTACCGCGCCCGCTCGAAGCACCGACTGGCACTGACGTGCCCGAGCGTCAGCCCGGCGTGCAAGACGCACTGGGAAGTGCCCAGCGGTCAGCGCCACCGCGACCGCGTCGGTCGCGCCAGACTAGCTGGTCGCTCTGCGCGCGAGCCTGCGCCCAAGGCGCCAGCCAGCGTCAAGGAGCCATCGCAATCGCCGCCGCATGGGTTTTGCAACAAGATTGCGGGTGGGCGGGTGGGATGTTTGCACGGGCGTGGGAGGCGGCCACGCGCGGCGCAGGCGAGCTAGTTGCACCACAGCGACTGCACCACATATTATGCTAGAGTGCACTGTTTGGGGTCCGCGCTGGCTTCTGTGCCGATTTCTGTGTGTCTCCCTGGGCCGCTTCAACCGTGGCATTGTCGCTTTGGCTGCCTGCCTGCGGAGCCAGGAGGCGAAGAACGCCTCCACGGTCCGCCTGGTCCAGATTTTCCACTGGATCTCCCGGGCTGGCCTTCGCGACCAGACGCTCATGCAGCTGCTGGGGAACGAGACGCTGCTGCGATTCAACGACGACCTGGCTTTCGATATGCTCCTGGAGGCCGCTTTCTGCACGGGTCCGTGCAGATGCCAGAGCAGGCTCAAGACGAGTCGGACGCGCCAGTGCCCACTTGCAGTTCTGCCACGATTGACGTCCATGCTCTCGATGTGTTACTTCCGCCGCTCGAGAGATCCTCATAACCGCTGTCAGGGGGCCCGACTTCCTCCTCCTCCTGCCCCTCCTCCTCCTCCTCCTGCTCCTCCTACTCCTCCTCCTCCTGCTCCTCCGGATCCTCCTGATCCTGCTCCGCCCAACCCACACAGAGAGGAGAACTGGCCAGACCACGTCCGGTCAGGGTATATCAGAGCCCAGAGTTGCGAGGTTGCCTCCCCCTCTCCCCCGTCTGCGCAGTCATTTCCACATCCTGCTCACCTCATCCTTCTCCTGACTTGTGCTATGCCCCACCCCTTTCGGGGGAGGGGGGGGACTTCCTTGTCCGCCTCTTCGTCCCACCTCTGCCAGTGGCGCGGCTGTGAGGATGTCTCGAGCAACGAGGCGCACATAGCACGAATCAGACCCCACCCGCCTCCCCTGTAGCCCACGCGAAGATAGCACAACTAAGATGTGGTGGTGTTGGCCTTCCCCGGCGGGTCGCTGACTCGGCCGAGCCTCGCTTTTCGCGATCTTGTTTGTGCTATCAATTCCGTGCTATCAAACACAAATTATAACATCGTCCAGTCGAGGCAAAGTGGGGAAACCAGACATCCATCGTAGTGGAAAATTAATTGCAACGGATTTTCGTAGTTTTTGACCTTTGGGGGCTCCTGTCGGCCCCAGGGTTGTCAAACAACGACTCAGGATACAAAGCCAGCCTTTTGAGAAGAGGTCGGGACTTCCGGTGATCCCGTATTGAAAAATAGTCCCGGCGAAGGACCCAACCATATGCAGTTGTGGGTACCTCGGGGGCGGAAAAGAGGGGGTGATGATTGGGGCGGGTGGATGTCATGGCGGGGGCCATCATATCTCCCCAGATTTCATGGCGCCTCTTCTTATTTCATTACGTCCCTGGCCCCCCCGCTGGGCCGCGCACATGCCGCCGGTCATGATTTGCACACACCCCTCTTGGACACCCCCCTCTTGGCCGCTCTCGAGTACCGCAATTGTGAATATCTTCTTCGGTGAAGCTCCCTATGGGGCCACGCAGCGCTGCACTGGGTGGGGAGGGGAACGCATGCGGGCGGTAGCACTGGGGCCGTCGGTGGAGATCCCTATGGGGCCACGAAGCGCTGTACTGTGTGGGGGGGACGCTTCGGTGAAGCTATGGGGACACGAAGCGCTGTACTGGGTGGGGCGACGCATGCGGGCGGTAACACCGGGGCCGTCGGTGGAGCTCTCTACGGGGCCACGAAACGCTGTACTGGGTGTGGGGGACGCATGCGGGCGGTAGCACTGAGGCCGTCGGTGGAGCTTCCGATGGGGCCACAAAGCGTAGGTGAACGTGCCAAATTGGGTTTCGGGGGCGCATGCGGAAGGTCCCACTGGGGGGCTTCGTGGAGCTCCCTATGGGGCCACGAAACATTGTACTGGGTGGGTGAAAATGCCAAGTTGGGCTTCGGGGACGCATGCGGGCGGTCCCACGGGGCTTCGGTGGAGCTCCCTATGGGGCCACGGAGCGCTGTACTGTGTGTGGGTGAGCATGTCACATTGGGTGTTTCTGGACGCGCGCGGACGGTCCCATCGGAGGCTTCGGTGGAGCTCCCTATGGGGCCACGCAGCGCTGTATTGGGTGGGTGAACATGCTACATTGAGCGTGTGGGGCGCATGCGGACGGTCCCACTGGGGGCTTCGGTGGAGCTCCCTATGGGGCCACGAAGTGCTGTACTTGGTAGGTGAACACGCCATCTTGGGTTTTCCGGACGCATGGGGCGGTGGCACCGGGGCCTTCGGTGGAGCTCCCTATGGGGCAACGCAACGCTGTGCTGGGTGCGTGAAAATACCAAATTGCGTGTTTCGGGGCGCATGCGGACGGTCCCACTGGGGGCTTCGGTGGAACACCCCATGGGACCACGAAGCGCTGTACTGGGTGGGTGAACATGCCACATCGGGTGTTTCGGGACGCGTGGGGACGGTGACATTGGGGCCTTCGGTGGAGCTCCCTATGGGGCCACGAAGCGTTGTACTGGGTGGGGGCTTCGGTGGAGCTCACAACGGGGCCACGAAGCGTTGTACTGGGTGGGTAAAAATACCAAATTGCGTGTTTGGGGGCGCATGCGGACGGTGGCATTGGGGCCGTCGGTGGAGCCCCCTATGGGGCCACGAATCGCTGCATTGGGTGGGTGAAATGTTACACTGGGTGTTTCGGGACGCATGGGGCGGTGGCACTGGGGCCTTCGGTGGAGCTTCCGATGGGGCCACGAAGCGTTGTACTGGGTGGCTGAAACGCAGGGAGGAGGGGGAGGAGGGAGGAGGGGGAGGAAGGAAGGAAGGAGGGAGGAATGCGGGGGCCGTCTCTTCAAAACGAGGACCCAACACCACAGGATGGTTGGGAGCAGTATGTCGTATCTTTGGATCGTTTTCCATTCAAATTGTTTCGCTTCTGTCCGAGAGGTGGCCTCGCTGGCGTCTTGGGAGCGGATTCCCCGCATTCCGAAGATGAGTTGGCCCATGCATGTAACTGATGGTGTCGGTAGCCCTTTGCGTTCTTCGCCGCATTTTGATCGCACACGTGTGACCCCGAGGTGAGGGCAGCATAAGGGTACTTGGAGGGTCGGGTGGCTCTCGTGTGCTTTTCGGCATTGTTGTTCCGAGGTGTGAAGTGTGAAGTCTCGCGCTCGCGAGATAAGGAGGATGAGAATCAGCGAAAGAACCGCAGATTGTTCTGAGCTTGCTCTCTCCAAAGGTTCATCAAGTCCTCAAGGTGCCTCAGTCCATGGTGGCGGCACGCAGATGCACGCCTCTCGCGATCAATAGCGCTCCAGCGGCATAGTATATGGAGCCATCTGTTGAGAATTTTGCTCCGCCTAGGGTGTCGGCACGCGCTGGGGAATCGAGTGGTGTGCAAGCTTAAATTGTTCACGCATGGCACTGTCGACCAGACTTCACATCGAACCGCCCTTTGCCGAGTGAAAAGGCCGTGGCGCACTGGCCGAGATCCCCCGCGTGCCGGCGTCTTACGCTGCCAGCCGAGACCCTATACCCCCGCGCGGCTTTCGATATCGAAGGTATGTGACGCTGCCTCTGCATGCAGTCCATGACGCATGTCCATGGCATAGCCGCTGGACTTCAGCAGTGGGCGCGTGCACCGATGCTAGCCCCAGCCTTGTCGTTCTTGGCGGAGCTTGACCGAGCTGGGGGATGGGAGGAGAGTATGGCCTAGGTCTCGGCTTGCAGCAGAGCTGTACCGGATTAGGCTTCAGCTGTGTGGATCGGCTACAGCTTAAGATGTATGGCGTTACAATTCTGCTTCGCAGGTTTTACGGTGGTGTTGACATTCTGCTTGGCTCAGCCTTGGCTTGAGTTCCAGCGTTGCTTCGATGTCCACCGTCAGCCACAGCCTTCGTGCTGGCCTTTTAGTTTCGGTTTAGATTGTTCGACCCTTATTCTCTATACTTAGTTCTGACATCGCTGGTATATTATCATGCACATGTCTGCCGATATGTAAATATATAGATACACATGTATATATGTACATAGTTGCGCACTGCGATATGCACATCGCATCGGCTTTGCTTTGTTTGGAATGTAGCTGTCGTGTTGGGACGTGTTGGGCATTTGCCATCAACTCAACTCTGCATTCCCGCTTATGCAAGGTAAAGCGAGCAAGCTTAGCAGAGTACAGTTTGCCTTAACCCAACGCTTGGCAGCCTGGTTCAGCTTCGTTGCCGTTTACCTGCGCACTGGCATACTTGCTCGTCAGATTCGCTTAGTTGTTTTGGTTGAATCGTCAGAGGCCGTCTTGAATTTTCTGTGGCCCTCTTCGATCATCTTGGTGGCTTCTCCAACCTCTCTGAAACCTTCTAGAAGCCATCTCAATCCGAAGCTCTGCAGGATGTTCACTGCGGTATAGCCTCTCAGATTGTCGCTTGAGGCCAATTTGGGGGCCTTAGGAGCTAGAGTCTCTTGGGCGTTGTCGAGGACACCCTGCAGCCGTTGTGGATGTTTTCGGCATTTGTGAGCTGCTCTGGGGGTCGTCTGCTCGATGCTCGAGCGCGTCTAACACTCTTTGGGCGTTATTGGCTGGTCTGAGGGAGGCGAACGTCTACTAAAGGAGACTGGGAACAAATGGCGCGGCTGGCCTGGGTGTGAGTTGGACACGCGTGTGGTCAGATGTTCTCCGAACGATATAGGCTCTTCTGGTGCGCCGCGTTGGGCCGAGCGCTGGCAGGAGCGGTGCCCCCGCTCTGCCCCCGAGATGACTGCCGATCCCAACCACGTCGGGCCGTTGACGAACCACATGGGACGGATTAGAGCCACTGGAATCAGACGGAACCCACCCTGCAGGATCCCAACCGTAATCCCACAATGCGAGCGCCAGCTGACAACCAGGGAAGCTCCCCAAAAGCCCCTGGGGAGCTCCCGAGCTGGGGGCGGCGGGCCGGCAGCGGGCGTCGCCGCGAAGGATGCAACACGGGTGGGGGTGGCGGGGCCCATCACTCGCCGAGCGCGTTCCACTACTCGCAAAGTGCCTACGCGCAAGCGTCCGAACAAAAGCACACGTCTGCTTGTATCTAACTTATCGTGGATTCCTCGTGGGGGATCCAGGCCATTTGTGAGTAGTGACTTTGCGAGTAGTGGAAAACGCGCTCGTCGAATCACGGGCGTCGCCGCGGATGGACACAACACGGGCCCCAGATCCTCAACGTGCACGCCAAGCTGGACCTGAAGAGCCCGCGGCTCATCGGTGCGATCCTCCGCGAGCTGGGCCCCGCCTGCGCCGGCCTCTGCCGCGCCCGCCCGCTCCGCGGAGGCCTCGCCTCGGCCCGCAGTCTCCTCCCGGGGGTGGCGCCCATCGGGGGTGAACAGACCCCCCAACAGTGACACGTCGATGAGTGATTTGTCCGTTTTCGGTTCTCGAGAGGGCGCCGCGGCCGTTACTTTCCAGACTTGCGCCCGCCAGGTTTGGGCCCGAGGTCGTTTTCACTAGACCACGTTTTACTACAGGGGGGTCCTGTTGTCCATCCCCGATCCCAGAGGTTCCCAAGACGGCCCAAGAGAGACCTCCAAGAGGGCCTCCAGGAAGGCCCGAAGAGGCCAACAATAATTGATTGTCCTCAGGTGTTCGAAGGATTCTGGCGCTTGCTTCCTTCCGACGGCCCGAGATGCCCCACGAGCCTCCAAAGATCGCCTCAAGATCGCCCAAGAGGCCTTCAAGATGGCCCTGGCACAAGAGGCCCGGCTTTGCATCCCGGGCAGCTCTGCTTGCGGCGGGCCCAGCTGGGTAGCTGTGCTCTCAGACCCCTTCGGGTCATGCCAAAATCATCACGGGCGTGTTTTCGCTAGTTTCGGCCTCTTGGGGCCATTGCTGGGCCTGGGGGCCATTAAACAACGACTCAGGATGAAAAACCCGTCCCAGGGATGTGGCCGACTTCTGGGGGTCGACGTTATGAAACAGTCATGACGTCGGGGGTCTGAGTTCGAGGGACGGAGAAGCGACACCACTACCACCAGGGGGGCCACCACTTCCAGCGAGGAGGTCGACGATGCCTCCCAGAGCTGCCCCTGGTGGTGGTGACGTCGCGTTTCCCTGTTCCGCCCTGAGGGCCCGGCGAGGGCCCCCCGGAGCCGAGCACAGCGAGTCGCCGTCCGCCGTTCTCGACGACTCAGACCTGCGACGACCTGATTTTTTCAGGACGGCGCACCCGGAAGTCCTGAACCTTTTCCCGGGACCGGTTCTTCATCCTGAACCGTTTCTGAACGGCCCCGGGGCCTGGCGAGGGCCCCCCGAGGCCGCACTTGGCCAAAAACCTCCCGTCCTGATTTTTTTGTTTTCCGACGCAATCGCGTCTGGGGACGTTGCGCGACCACGCCCCGGCAGAGCTCGCCGCCCGCGCTCGCCGCCGGCCGGCCGAGGCGCCGAGCTCACCCTGGACCAGTGCTGCGCGCTGGCGCCCCTCGCGGTCGGGGGGGGGGGCCTGTGGCCTGCCCTGGGCCCGCCCTGCCTGCGCGGCTGCCCCCTCGCGTTCTCTGCGCTGTCCCTCCCTCCCTCCCTCCCTCCCTCTTTCCTCCTCCCTCCTTTCTCCTCCTCCTCCTCCTCCTCCTCCTCCTCCTCCTCCTCCTCCTCCTCCTCCTCCCTCCTCCCTCGCTCCTCCTCCTCCTCCCTCCTCCCTCGCTCCTCCTGCTCCCTCCCTCCCTCCTCCTCCCTTCTCCCTCCCCTCCTCCTCCTTCCCCTCCTCCTCCTCCTCCTGCTCCTCCTCCTCCTCCCTCCTCCTCCTCCCTCATCCTCCTCCTCCTCCTCCTCCTCCTCCTCTTCCCTCATCCCTCCTCCCTCCTCCTCCTCCTCTTCCCTCCCCCTCCTCCCTCTTCCTCCCTTCTCTCCTTCTCCCTCCTCCCTCCCTTCCGCCTCCCTCCTGCCTCCCTCCTCCCTCCTTTCCCCTTCCCCTCCCTCCTTCTCCCTCCTCCTCCTCCCTCCTCCCTCCCTCCTCCCTCCCTCCTTTCTTCCTCCCTCCTTCTCCCTCCTCTTCCCGCCCTTCATTTGTTTCGTACACTGCGAGCCCTCAGACCGTATTTTCACGAGTGGCAACTGAGGAGCGCGGCACTGCACGCTGCACATCTTCTGCCAAGTTCTGTGGCCTGCCCTGATAGCCTCAGCTGCCGTGCGTCGTAGCGTTCTCTGGAATTGTTCCGCAGTCGGGAAGTGAACGAAGTGTTGCGGAAGATGCTTAAGCCGCATACGCACGCCACACTTACAGTTGATCTCTGCATCATGGGATGCATGTTTGTTGGCATGCTTTTCTTCATGCCCTGACATCCTCTCGTTTGTCATAGGAATCACTGTGGAGAGGTTGCGTCAATTTTCGACTTCCGGGGACCTCATAGGGCCCCAGAACCGTCAAACTATCTTGGCGAAGGGCCCAACCATCTGAAGTTGTGGGTACCGCAATTGTGAATATCTTCTTCGGTGAAGCTCCCTGGCCACGAAGGGATGCACTGGGTAGGGGGGAGCGCATGCGGGCGGTAGCACTGGGGCCGTCGGTGGAGCTCCCTGTGGGGCCCCGAAACGTTGTACTGGGTGGGTGAAAATGTCAAACTGGGTGTGTGGGGGCGCATGTGGGCGGTAGCACTGGGACCTTCGGTGGAGCTCCCTATGGGGCAACGAAACGCTGTACAGGGTGGGTGAAGATGCCAACTTGGGTGTGTGGGACGCATGCGGGCGGTCCCACTGGGGGCTTTGGTGGAGCTCCCTAAGGGGCCACGAAGCGTTGTACTGGGTGTGTGAAAGAGCCAAATTGGGTGTGTGGAGCGCATGCTGGTTGTCCCACTGGGGGCTTCGCTGGAGCTCCCCATGGGGCCACGAAACGCTGTACTAGGTGGGTGGAAATGCAAAGCTGGGTGTGTGGGACGCATGCGGGCGGTCCCACTTGGGGCTTCGGTGGGGCCTCCTAATGTGCCGCGAAACGTTGTACTGGGTTGGTGAAACGCAGTGAGGAGGCAGGATGGGGCCACGAAGCGCTGTACTGGGTGTGCGGGACGCATGCGGGTGGTAGCACTGGGACCTTGGTGGGGCTCCCTATGGGCCCACGAGACGCTGTACTGGGTGGGTGAAACGCAGGGAGGAGGGTGAGGCGGAGGGCGCGGAGGAGAAAAGAGAACGCGGGACACCGTTTCTTCAAAATGAGGAACCACCACCCAACACCGCTCGTGCTGAAAAAGCCGTCTTGGGGAAGGGGTCCAGACCTAGAGGGAGCCAAGTTGCGAAAAAGCCTGGACGTCGGATGTCTTCCCCCTTCTTCTCCTTCACAGTGTGGGCCCTTTCCCACATCCATGCCTCGGTGCGGATCGAAAGACGCCGTTCTCTTGCGGTTCTGCTCGGGACTTGTTTCCCTCGTGCAGTGGCCACCACCACCACCACCACCACCACCACCACCACCACCACCACCACCACCACCACCACCACCACCACCACCACCACCCCTTTCCCTCCTCCCTGCTTCGACCACGTGCAAAGGGGGATCGGGGGAGGGGGGCAGGCTTCTCAGGAAAGCCCCTGTTTCTCAGAAGGCGCGCGCGGGCCTTGTCTGTAGAGGTTGTAAGGCTGACGCCTTCTAAAAAGTAGCCTCTTTCTAAGAAGCGTTGCCCCCTCCCCCATGCCCCCGTGGGCGCGCCGCCAACTCTTACTGGGTCGGGCAAAAGGAAGGGGAGTGGGCAACGGGGAGGGGTACGCAACCTGCTGCATGCAGCCGACTCTGGCCCCGCCGCCGGGCGCCTTGCTCAACACGACCTCGTGCTCTTGTTTGCAACGTGGCTCCGCTGGGGTGTGGGCCCCCTCCGCGGGACTGGCCTTTCATCCCGAGTCGTGTTTTGACCGCCCGCGGGCCCTGCGAGGGCCCCCAGAGGCCGAGAACGAGCAACTGCATGGTCCGCCGTGATCTTTCCGCCACGCCAAGAGGATGGGTCTGTCCACGGAGGAGGAGGAGTCGGAGGAGGACGAGGAGGACGCAGAGGAGAACGAGGACATGAGCAGGACGCGGAGGAGGAGGAGGAGGAGGAGGAGGAGAAAAAAGAGCAGGAGAAGGAACAATGTTTAGGAAGAGGAGGAGGAAAATGAGGAGGAACAAAAAGGAGCAGCAGGATGAGGAAGCGCAGGGGCAGGACCAGGACCAGGACCAGGAGCAGGAGCAGGAGCAGGAGGAGGAGCAGGAGGAGGAGGAGGAGGAGGAGAAACAGGAGGGGTAGGCGCAGGAACCAGGAAGAGCACATTTTGGCTTCGGCGAAGGTCATGAACATCCTCGACGACCAGACCCGCGGCGCCTACCTGGCGCGCTGCGCCGAGCTGGACGTCGGCCGGCCGGTGGCGATGACGAAGCCCGCCGTGCTCCGCCAGTTCCGGCTGCTGGCGGACACCTGCCGCGCACCCTTTTCGGGAGCGTCCAGCGAGTCCGAGGCGGGGTAGCCCCAGGCTCCCCCTGAGTCTTGCACATTAAATCACGGCGGGAGCTGTTTCGCCGTCTCGGCCTCCCGAAGCCCCCACTGGGCCTCGGGACCGTAAAAAAAAACTCTGGATGAAAAACCGGTCGAGACCTTGGGGGGTCGACGTCATGAAACAAAATCATGACGTCGGGGCTTGTCCATACCCAGGAGGGAAAGACACGCACAAACACAAACAAATGGCGATATCCAGGAACAAATGGGAAAATATATGAGATGAAGGGGAAGACGGGGATCCAGAAGATATTGAAAATAGTGGGAATCCTTGGATTTCATCTCCATCCCCATCCCATTCGTCACCATCCCACCACCCACGTTGGGAATACACCCTTCGAAACCCAAATGGAACAGCCTACACCCCTTTCAAGAAGGTAAATCGGCCAGTGTGGTCCAGGCCACGCCAGTAAGGATAGGGATCGGTTAAACGATGCTCAAAGGCCAGGGTTTGTCCATGACGACCCCCCCGAGGATCGATCTTTGGGGCCTCGGCAGGCGGTGGAAATGGATATAGTCGGGCACCCTGGGGCCCAACACACATGATATACCGAATCATATCTATATAATGTATATATATAGAGAGATATAGATATACACATCCATATCCATATCCATATCCACAGCCCCCCTGGGGTCCCAGGACCACGGTTCCCCAGGCGGTGGATATGGATAATTTCCCGCCTCGCAAAGAGGGGGGGTTCTTCTTGACCTTGCCATGCGATCGTAGCGAAGAATTGTGACGGAGGGTTTTCCAATGTTCGGCCTCCTGGGGCTTTCAGCGTGCCGCGGGACCGTCAAAAGACGACTCAGGATGAAAAGCTGGTCCTGGGGAGAGGGTCCAGACCGCTGTGGAGCCAATTCGCAAACAACAAATACGACGACGGATGTCTGGGGAGGGGCGGGGGACCATTGTGGTTTTCTCGCCTCCAGATGTTTTCTGACATAATGGACGCCTCGTCGAGAGCTTCCCTGGGGTGCCTGGGTCGTCCCGAACGGCTGCTAGATGCCCGAGCTATGACCCATAAGCCACCAGTGGCGTCGCAGAGGGGCTTGGGCGAAGGTCTCCAAGCTGGGCTTGTGGTATCTCCCCAAATGCCATGGCCCCGGTTGAGAGCGTTCCACTTCGGCAAGGTTTCTTGCATGCCCTCCCCCTTTCCTCTTCACCCGCCCCCTCCGTCGCCTTTCCGAGCGGCGCTGGGCCGAACAAAGTCATGCAAGTGAGACTTGCGTGAAGCCCGGATGTCCTTTCGGGCCTCAGCGTGCCCCCTCCTTTCCCCCCCCTGCCATGGGCCTTCGTCAACCGTTGCCCCTTGCCTCCTCCAACACGCGGCCCGGGGCCCCCTCCTCGTCCGCGCACGTGCCTCGGGCCACCCTGCGCACCCCGCTTCCCCCCAGACATCCGACGTCGCGCTGCTGTTTTTTTTTAATCTCACGACGCGGCTCCCCACAGGTCGGGATGCACCCTCCCCGGGACTTGGGCCTTTCGTCCCGAGCCGTCTCTGTCCGACGGTCCGACGCTCCCTGGGCACGGAGGGGGCCCCCCAGGATGCAGAAAGTGCGCGGGAGACGCGCGCCGTGCGCCGTGATGGCTCCACGACGCGAGGGGAGAGCGTTCTGCTTCGCGCGAGCTCGATGCCAAGGAATGGAGGACGACTTGGCTCCGTCACCGGACCACTCCTGTGTGAGCTGACGTAGCAGCCGTGATGCTTCTTGCTGGTCGCGGGCCAGCTCGTGATGCCGACCCGTGCCCACCCCGCCCCGTCTCCAGGGTCTCTTCCTGTCCCCCCCTCGTGGGCGGCCCCAGACCCTCTCTCTCGCCGCCCAGCACGCCACACGCGGGCGGGTGGGCAGGTCGGCGAGCGCCGCGGGGCCAGAGGGCGGGCGTCAAGGCGGGGGGGGCTCCGAGGTCACCCCTCGCGGAGCGGCCAGCCCTACGGTCCTGGCGTCGCAGCTCTTTCACCGCGTGTTTTTTTTATTGAACAATCTTGCGGGCCCGGGGGCCCTCACGGATCGACCCTGCTGGGAATCTGCAGCAGAAAGATGGGTTCCAGGGCTCCGCCGTCTCGGGGATGGGTGGGCCCGCCCGCCGCCTTGCCAAGGCGATGAGCAGATGTGCCCGCGGGGAGGGTGACCCAGCCGCCGCTCAGCGGGATTGCGCCCGCGGGGTTTGATTTCCTGGCCGTTTTCACTCAAGGGTGTTGTGCTAGAGGAGCCACGCGTGAGCCTGAAACCGCCAGCGCCGCCCAGGAAGACGTTCACCGCCGGATCGGGCCTCCCTCTTTCTTGTTCGCTCCGCGGCCACTTCTCGTCCTCGTACACTTGTGCAGATGCAGTTCGCTACCGCACAGCCGGTCCTATACTCGGTCGCGACGACCCTTTGTAGTTGCGGGCCAAAACAACGTGTTCTCCTGAAGGGGGTTGTGTTTACCTCCGGTCGTCGAATGGCAGTGGTGAACTACCATTCCCGTCCTGTGCGACTCCGTATGTGGGGCAACCCGAGCTCCGCCCTTCTCCTGGGAGTTACAGACTGCTGAGGAGGGCAGCCTGGACCACGTCACGCTCCCAGTCCGCAAGATGCAAATGCCAAGGCCGTTCTGCCCCCAGAGCCATGGCCGCTGCGCGGATGAGCCATGAACCTGCCAGTAGCAGACGTCTATCGGTCTCGTAAGCCACGTTCAAACCTCTTTCCGACGACGACGGCGCTCCGTCGGCGACGACAACGTAGCTCATGGGGGCGATGCCACAGCAAGTCGTCGTCGTCGTCTCCACTGCAGCGGCGGACGATATTTCACAGGCTGGTCTCGTCAGGATCGTTGCCAGACGGAGCGGCTCGCGTTCTGCCATGCGTTCGTTTAGGCATGGCACTTTCAGGAGCGGGCGTCGTCTCAATGCAGTGTCCGTCGCTCTTGTGCAAGCATGCGGTGTTTGCGCGGGTGGCAGGACAGGTCTGGATGTCATTGCAGTTGCGGGTGTCTTGCCGAGGGTACCTCGCACCCCCATCTTCGTGCCGGCCTTGGCCAACGCTGAGCGACCGTTGCGACCTGGATGCCCGAGTGCCGTGCGTCCCTCTTTTAGAGCCTTCTGGTTTGGCCTTTGGCTGCTCCGCCATTCTCTCTCTCTCTCTCTCTCGGAGGAGGAGGAGGAGGAGGAGGAGGAGGAGGTTGAGGACCAGCCTAAACCCAAGAGGCATCAACGATGTTAGAATAAACCCTTCCTCCAAGCTCCAGCTTCATATAACTCTACAACGGTTTATCCTTACTGAGGGAATAGCCTCATCGGAACACAACTATTTAAAGACCCTGACGCATGCCAAAACTTTGTTCTCGGGATTCCAACGTCACGTCACGTCACAGAGAGACACACAGAGAGACACACAGAGAGACGCACAGAGAGACACACAGAGAGGCACAGAGAGAGAGAGACACACAGATACACACACAGAGAGACACAGAGAGAGACACTGAGAGACAGAGAGAGAGAGACGCAGAGGGAGACGCAGAGAGACACAGAGAGAGAGACACAGAGGGACACACAGAGAGACACAGAGAGAGAGAGAGAGAGACACAGAGAGAGACACAGAGAGACACACAGAGAGGCACACAGAGAAGGACACAGAGAGGGACACAGAGAGAGACACAAAGAGCGACACAGTGGGAGACACAGAGAGAGACACTGAGAGAGACACAGAGAGAGACACAGAGATAAACACAGAGAGAGACACAGAGAGAGACACAGAGAGAGACACAGAGAGAGAGACACAGAGAGAGACACACAGAGAGACACACAGAGAGAGACACAGAGAGAGACACACAGAGAGACGCACAGAGAGACACACAGAGAGACACACAGAGAGGCACAGAGAGAGACATAGACAGAGAAACAGAGAGAGACACAGAGAGAGACACAGAGACAGACACACAGAGAGACACAAAGAGAGACACACAGAGAGGCACACAGGGAGACAGAGAGAGACACACAGAGAGACTGAGAGAGACACAGAGAAAAACACGGAGGGAGACAGAGAGAGACACAGAGAGAGACACAGAGAGAGACACAGAGAGACACACAGAGAGACACACAGCAAGAGACACACAGAGAGACACAGAGAGAGACACACAGAGAGACACACAGAGAGACACACAGAGAGACACACAGAGAGACACACAGAGAGACACACAGCGAGACACACAGAGAGACATACAGAGAGACACACAGAGAGACACACAGAGAGACACACACACACACAGAGACACACAGAGAGACACACAGCGAGGCACACAGAGAGACACACAGAGAGGCACACAGAGAGACACACAGAGAGACACACAGGGAGACACACAGAGAGACACACAGACAGAGAGAGACACACAGAGAGACACACAGAGAGACACACAGAGAGGCACAGAGAGACACACAGAGAGACACACAGCGAGACACACAGAGAGACACTGGCAGAGAGACACTGGCAGAGAGACACAGGCAGAGAGACACAGGCAGAGAGACACACAGAGAAACACAACGAGAGAGCCACAGAGAGACACACAGCGAGAGACACACAGAGAGAAACACAGAGAGGCACTCAGAGCGACACACAGAGAGACACACAGAGAGACACACAAAGAAGGAGACAGAGAGGGACACAGAGAGACGCCCAGAGAGACACACAGAGAGGCACACAGAGAGGCACACAGAGAGACACACAGAGAGACACAGAGAGGCACACAGAGAGGACCACAGAGAGACACACTGAGAGACACACAGAGAGACACACAGAGAGACACACAGAGAGACACACAGAGAGGCACACAGAGAGACACACAGAGAGACACACAGAGAGACACACAGAGAGGCACACAGAGAGACACACTGAGAGACACACAGAGAGACACACAGAGAGGACCACAGAGAGACACACTGAGAGACACACAGAGAGACACACAGAGAGACACACAGAGAGACACACAGAGA